ATACAGTGAACATTTACTTAACTTCCTTTTTGCGGCTGTTTCAAGATGATTTACAGTGAACACTTCCTTTGTGCTGCTGTTTCAAGATGATCTACAGTGAACATTTACTTAACTTCCTTCGTAGTGCTGTTTCAAGATGATTTACAGTTAACATTTACTTAACTTCCTTCGTGCTGCTGTTTCAAGATGATATACAGTGAACATTTGCTTAACTTCCTTTTTGCTGCTGTTTCAAGATGATTTACAGTGAACATTTACTTAACTTCCTTCGTGCTGCTGTTTCAAGATGATATACAGTGAACATTTACTTAACCCTATTAGGCCTGACGGTCACATATGTGCACATTTTTCAAACCAACAGTAACCAGAAACGGACACATATTTTGGTTTTCCTGCAGCAATACTTCATGTAATACCGTGAATTTGTTTCAAACATATTTTGAATGATGGGATTTAACAGCATTCTTCCAAGATGGCGGAATTCTCGGGAATAAGTGCGAGGTTAGTTTATTACATATTTCATGTATATTTTTGCATTATGTGGCAATGATATAAACTCCAGACAAAATATAAACTTCTACACTAACTCTTGACGTTGTTACAGGGTGAAATACATTCATTTTCTATCGATGTTATATACATATTGTTTAGGAATTTACGTGTAAACATTTTGTACACATATGTGCACATCAGGTCAATCAGGAATTAGTGTCAATAAAATTGACTAAAATTCTGCAGTTTTGAAAAACAAAAATTTTTAATCAAAGGTAAATTAGAGCTAAACATCAAACAATATGCTCTACTACACTTCTTAAATAAATATTACAAACACTATTTACTCAGTTTAGACTAGTATTTTTATGGAAATTAGTTGAACACATACATGGCAAGTCTTTCTTGACAGGTGTAGAAAATATATAAATTTTGTAACAATTTACAATAGATTTGATACTTTCATGGTTGGTAAAGTACCTACAAGTATTTTATTGAGTACTGTGTCTTTTCAGATCATTTTACTCGTCTAAACCACCAAATATATCTACAGCACCATTGCCAGATGGGAATTCCAGTGAGGATAATATTGATAGTGATGAGGAGGAGGATGACGATGATTACAACCCTGGTGATTTGGAGAATGGAAGTGAAACAGAAAATGAAGATTCGATGAGTCAATCAGAGGAGGAATCGTCAGGGGATGAAATACCATTGAATGAATGGAAAAGGAGAAAGAAGGATGAAGAAGAGGTATTGATCCATATGACCTATAAAATATATGGCTTTATTCTTGGGTTTTACTATGGCATTATGCAGTGAATCTGGCGGGGGTCAACCTCAAATGTATTGATGCTTATGCTGTAGTAGAGTGAGAAAATGGTACAAAATTCCATGTATTTGTCACTAAACACAAGCCTAATACATAAAATGAGCAATCGACTCACTCTGATAACTGTGCTTTGGTTTAGAGTTAACCCTCCATAACTTTTGTGATGTCATATGAAACCCAAGAATAGATTGTCTTTTTGCTTTCTTTAGAATGAAGTAAAATTCCCATGGAAGACAGATGCCACTTGGGAAAGTCCTCGAGAATCAAAAATTCCACTGGAGAAGCTCAAACCATTGAATGCAACATTGACGAATGTCACTCAGGCCTCAGCCTATGGAATTTTTCAAAACCTTTGTCACAAATGATATACTTGAAGACATAACGTTCCAATCCAACTTATACAACACACAACGGGCAAATAAAGGCTATAAACGAGCAGTGAAGAGAAGGGGTTCCTCGGAGACCCTGTATCGAGAAGTAAAGCCAATAACCCAGCTGGAATTGCGACAGGTATTCGGCATTATCTTGTACATGGGTGTCCATAAGTTACCTACTTGCCGCATGTATTGGGGGAATAAAACTTTTGTGCCACTCATTGGAAACACCATGTCTCGTAATCGGTATGAAGAAATTCTTTCCATTCTCCACTTCAACAATAATGAGGAAGCTGTTACTGATCCAGCTGATCCAAAATATGACAAATTGTTCAAAGTGAAACCACTAGCTGACCATTTTAGACATGTGTTCAAAGGAAGTGTTACTCCAGAGACAATGCAAGCTATTGATGAGATGATGATCCCATTCAAGGGTAGGCATAGTGCCAAGCAGTACATGCCAAAAAAGCCAACTAAATGGGGCTACAAATTATGGTGTCAAGCTGGAATGTCTGGATATGTCTATGACTTGGAAATCCTTGGGTCTCCTGATGCAAAAGGTCCACCACCTGGTGTTGATGTACCCAATCTTGGCGAAAGCTCCAACGTTATTCTGAGGTTGACCAAAGATGTAGAAAGGAAGAAGCATCAATTGTTCTTTGATAATTTCTTCTCTTGCCCAGAACTTCTTGCTTACCTCAAGTTGCAAGATATTTTTGCTGTTGCTACGCTGAAAGCCAACCGTAGTCGTGGATGTCCAATTTCCACAGAGAAAACCATGCGAAAACGCGGAAGGGGAGATATTGCCCAATTTTCTGATGTCAAGGCTGGTTTGGTGATATGTGCATGGTATGACAACCGCAGAGTTTTGACCATCTCCAACTTTTTAGGCAAGAATCCTGTGTCAAACTGCAAGCGTTTTGATAGGAAGACAAAGAAAGATGTATCAGTTCCTCGTCCAGCGTGCATTGAACTGTACAACAAGTTTATGGGTGGAGTCGATAAAGCAGACATGCTTTTGTCTCTCTATCGCACAAAGCACAGAAGTAAGAAATGGTACCATCGTATAGCATTCCACCTTATATCGCTTGCAGCTGTCAATGCATTTGTGCTGTATCGTGAGGTTGGAGGTGAAGGTTCTTTAGTAGATTTCCTTGTTGACATTTGTAGGTGTCTGCTTGTAGAATCACAAGATTTAGGTGATTCATCCGATGATGAAGCTACAACACCACTTAGACAGAGATCCCTTAGAGCCAATCAAGTACCAACAAACATACGTCATGACAGATGCAATCACTGGCCACTACAGTGCGAAAAACCGCAAAGATGCAAATGGACGGTTGTGAGCGGAGAACTAGATTTTTGTGCTCAAAGTGTCAAGTGTACCTTTGTATCACTGGCACAACCTGCTTCTTGAACTACCATGGCATAACACCTAAATAACATTGTTTGGTTAGCATTCTTGAACTCTAAGATGAGAGTATGTATAAAATAAATAATTGCAGTTTTTGTTCCTTAAATTCCTGATGTCCACATATGTGTACAAAAATTATTTCTGGGAAAAATATGTTTTTCAAAACAAAAATTCCAAATTTTTCCTAATTATGGTCTAATCACATATAAAATCCATTTTTTCGGTTTGTAAAGGTGATAGTTAAGCCTCAGGCCTTATAGGGTTTAACTTCCTTTTTGCGGCTGTTTCAAGATGATTTACAGTGAATATTTACTTAACTTCCTTCATGCTGCTGTTTTAAGATGATCTATGGTGAATATTTACTTAACTTCCTTTTTGCTGCTGTTTCAAGATGATTTACAGCGAACATTTACTTAACTTCCTTCGTGCTGCTGTTTCGAGATGATCTACAGTGAACATTTACTTAACTTCCTTTTTGCTGCTGTTTCCAGATGATTTAAAATGAACATTTACATAACTTCCTTCGTGCTACTGTTTCAAGATGATTTACAGTGAACATTTACTTAACTTCCTTCGTGGTGCGTTTCAAGATGATTTACAGTGAACATTTACTTAACTTCCTTCGTGCTGCTGTTTCAAGATGATCTACAGATAAACATTTACTTAACTTCCTTCGTGCTGCTGTTTCAAGATGATCTACAGATAAACATTTACTTAACTTCCTTTTTGCTGCTGTTTCAAGATGATTTACAGTGAACATTTACTTAACTTCCTTTGTGCTGCTGTTTCAAGATGATCTACGGTGAACATTTACTTAACTTCCTTCATGCTGCTGTTTTAAGATGATCTACGGTGAATATTTACTTAACTTCCTTTTTTGCTGCTGTTTCAAGATATTTACAGTGAACATTTACTTAACTCGCTTCGTGCTGCGGTTTCAAAATTACTTACAATGGACATTTTCTATCTGTTGTAAGCTGGCGTTGTAATTTATAAGGGTGAACATTTTCCTACCTTTGTTCATGTTGCTGTTTCAATATGATTTACTGCACCGTACCAGTGAACGTTTACTGAACTAATTCCTTGGTGCTGCTGTTCCAAGATGATCTACAGTGAACAATGTTCTTGACTGATGCTATTTTGCCTAATTACGTCCTTGCAAGATGCTCCCTAAACTCCGCCATTGCCGGTCCCAAGCCCGGATGAAAAAGGAGGAGGGTTTGGTCACTGGGTCGGACCATGTAAAAGACCATGGAGTAACTGAAACACCGAAATGAGTACGATGTACCGGACAAAGATTTTTCTAAGTCAAGACGCTTTATGATTACTGGTGTAGAAACTTGAACACTGATACCTGAACTACAGCCGAATCTGTAATACAACAGGGAACAGCGTGTGAAATCCAGTTTATTTTGACCTCTCACTTTAGGCGCTATGCTGTCGCGATGTAACTTAGTGGCGTTTCTGTCAACAATCTTTGAAGACAAAAATCTCAAATTTCCACGGTTTGATTTCGCTATTTTTTTCACGATTAGTTAAACAAAAGTATAATCTTTAATTCTATCCAGCCAGCCCCCCTCGGTCCCACAACCGTTTTCGAGATATTCACCGTTGAATATAGCCCTCTGTAAAATATGTTGCCTTGTCACTCAGATCGATAATGAACTGTCATTACTCGCTTTTTTCTAAAGAAGTGTGATATATTATAGAAGTTTCGATAGATTATGGATTGTATATATTGCAGTTAAAGTGTGCAAATAATTAAAGCCCTTCCGTAACAATATTTTACAAGTGAAATTTATTGTTTGTCATTCTATTTTTGTCAATGATTTTGTCTGCAAGAATTAAGCATCATCATTAAATTTGGAGGTAAAATCGGTCCTTCCAATCTGTACAGACCTTCTACATCTGCAAGATCTCCGATGCTATGATTGTCTCTCCATCGAGTGACCAAAACCTTGTTCACCTTTCTGGTTATGTTATTGGTATGATGACTTCTGGATTTTCAAAACTAACCCAGCAACAACCAGAATAACTACTCATCCTCCTGTTTCAAAAATGGCTGGTAAAAGTTAACCCTGGTTTAGATGCTAAATTTGTCCTTCAAAATTTTCTCCCACTTGTTGCCAAGGCTATGTCTGTACTTCATGGTGGTCAAAAAGACAATCTGATTTATCACACTGCTCGATGCTTTGGAGAACAACGCCATGGAGATGTTGGTCTGATGCCATTGATGGTCTGCCCATTATAGGAGTGAAGGCCCACTTGGCCTTTTTTTTAACAGTATTTTGTAATGATGTTACACAACTAATTCAGATAAAGTTTGAGAAATGGTGGTTCTTTCAATGTTAAGCCCCAGAGAGGGGGGTGGGGTCGGGCATATGTGGGGCATTTGATTTTTTGAGCAAATATTCAATCAAATGCCTTACTGTTAGGTAATAAATATTGGTCAAACACCCCACCATTTTGCAATAAATACTATATTAATAAAAGTCATTTTGGTTCAAATTGCCCTAACTCAGGCCCAAAATGCTAATCAAAATCCTGAGAGTGGGGATGCAATTGATGATCAAATACCCCACATATGCCCACCCCCCTCTGGGGCTTGACATTGATAGGTGCAATTATATGCAGGGTTTTTTTGTATTCTCATGTAATGTACCACAAAGTATCAGCAGCATGTTATTGTGGGACCTTTGATCAATATGTATATAAATAGACATATTTTTGTTTTATTCTTGCATTAATTTTAATGAAAAATAAAAATTACTCACAAAGTTGGTCAAGTGAATGTACAAACTATTTATTTCTTCATTTAGTACAGCACATGTTACAATTATGTACTTGTCCTAATTGCATGAGTGTGGATGACAGACTTTTTTTATTTTAATTGTGCACACCCACTTATGATTAACCTAGTTTTTGTTTATGAAAATCTAAAAAGTTTACCTAATTGAAATAAGATCATTTCTATAACTTGCTAAACCTAGTCAGTTATAATTATATCACAAACATCTGTCAACGTACACTCGTGCTCTCCCTTACCACTTGAGTCTCCTACTCACCACGTCGCTTTATGAAATTTTTTTGATAAAATCCTATTTTAAAAAAGTCAACCCTATACTTGATATGCTGAACATAGACCTCTAAGATATCTCCTGTGGCAATTAGTGGGTGCAAATACTCGCAAAGTTTAGAAGCAAGATAATCAATGTGTGTCCATCCAGTTCCATAGTCTACATCAATTGCACTTGGGTCCATTGGATTCAATGGCTCTGGCCGTATTCTTACATTCACTGGTTTATCTTGTCCATGAAGAGCAAGGTATGCTGTTGATGTTGGTAACTTTTCTCATGAGCAGCACCGATGCACTTGAATGGTACAGCATGGGTGATTTCATCCTCGTCACTTTCATCCTCATCACTTAACAGGTCACCACTTTCTGCCCTATCATCTTCATTACCATATCCATGCTGACCACTCAAGTAGATCTCTTTCTACAAAATCATAACAAGAAAATTTTTATTTTATTATTTTGTACATAAACTGTAATCTTTAAAATTAGAAATCTAATGCAAAAGTGTGTCACTATTTACAGTAATATTTATAGAACAACACACAAATATGGCAATATTTTACAAATGAAAATTGAAAAATATCTCTATTGTATGCACATATATGTAAAAATCTATCCACAACTAGATACAAACAGGCATCATACTTCAGCAAAAATTTATTAAACAATTTGTTTAACTCAAAGCATGTACATATGTATCACAGTACACAGACACACACAATAGGGTCAAACTAGAGCCATTTATAAACACAAATATTACGCCATATTAATTTTGTACAGTGTATTTATAAAATTACAGTACAAAGTTAAAAACAACAAAGCGGATAATAATTTGACTAAATAACAAGGTAATGCATTGTAGTATACCAACCTTAAATATTGCGCTTGTTTTCACATTGATGATACACAGAGATTTAACGTCATCCAAGTTAGAAAGAAGAGCCTTGCTACAGGAATATAAAAACAATTCCCTCGCTCAGACGCATTATTTATCAAGCTAAAATGACAACATGTCCCATGCAAATATTTAAAAAAAGGTAAACTTGGTATAGTAAAACACAAGTCATAATGATGATCGCAACAATACAGCAATAACATGCTGTTTCTTTTCACAAAGTATCGCAGCCTGACACTCTTGTCGTTCAAAAGCTTCCATATTGGTTTAGTCAGAGAGATGATCACTCCTCGACAGGGGCGTAGCTTGCGCGGGGGTGTGGGGGGTGACACCCCCCAGTTTTAGTGAGGTAGTCGGTAAAACGCAAAATTAGTCGGTAATGGCATGAGCCATGACAGCGGTCGGTAAAACCAATTGGTTAAAATGGAATTTTGCTCTGTTGGTAAATGGCTTTTAATAATCAATAAATTAAATTAATGTTGTGTCATGTTCTCCATAAAGTTATGCAAAATGTATGTAATTCTTCAGTAATCACTTATATTAAATTTTACGCATAAACATTGCAGCCTCTAATTCCCTATTGTATTACATGTTGCAAGAGCTGCGAAAACAGTTGGTTCTGATTGGACATTTCAACTGTGCGCGAACTTTTGACCTTGCATGATACAATGATACGCGAAAGAATTAAAGATTATATTTATATATTTATTATTGACACGCGGTGATCATAAAATGTTTCACCATTTTTTCAAGTCTGTTTATTACAATAAACAACAACTTAATAAATGAGTAAAATGACTTATCGCGAAGTAACAAGGACAACAATTATTGCTGCGTTTCTGGTTTCACGTTATTTCTAGACGGCAGACTAAAGTCACGGTAAGTGTCATTCACATTAAACGCGCGCCGAAATATTTATTTGTCAATTGCTGTATAGCTGTTATGGTATATGTAGCGTATAAAGGGCGGTACAGCGTACCTTGCAGTCCTTGCTATTTTACAGAATACGAATATCCTTTTCTTTTACAAGTACGGTATTAATATTACTATAATTACCAAATTATCTCATTTTACTTTAGCGTCAATAGGGTGCGTATATTAAGCTTGTGTGCGGAAGTAATAAATTTACATTAAACGCGTAAACTTAGTACATAACAAGAAACCATTCATTTTAACATGATAAACATACACATGTACAATAAAAACCTCACAGAATGTCAAAATAGAAATCTTAAGAACTAAGTGCATGCCAATAGAGAAAGTCACGTAAAGTTTGAAGTTTCACTTGTAATTGTGGGTAATCATATAAAATTTGCCTTGTGGTAAAAAGGAAACGTCTAATCAGACTAATCCGCTAATCCTAGGCTCCTAGCCCACTTACAAACGTAAATGATCATGATTCGAGAAGTTCTGGTAGATAGTGTTTACCTAACAAATTCAATATAAGAAATAAACGCGCCCTATTTACGCCAAGGAAATTTGTCATGGACCGTCAGAGTAAAATATGTCTTCCTGTTTATTTCATATATATATATAGCAGAAAAAGTAAGCGAGTATATATATTGAGAATTCAATTGCGTTAACTGAGTATTTGCTGAGACTAGAGAGTGATTTAATATAGTTTAGTCAAAAATGCCTCCAAAGGTAAACCCGTGCAAAAATCGATACAAAATCCGATGTCTCGAATGCAACATTGAAATGGACTTCGACTATAAGAAGAAACATAATTCAAAGTTTCACCAAGACTTGATTGCTCAACGAAAATCTATTCGTTATTGTGTCGTCGGCGCAGCAAAAAATCCATTTGAGGCCGCTGCGAGTTCAAAATCAAAGGCTGACGTTAGTGCCAAACCTACTGAAGCTTTCCGCGCAGATATACAAGATGCTGGAAAAAGTGATTTGTGTTCAGAGTCCTCAGAACATGAAAGTGGGCATGAGTCAAGGGACCTTTGTGAGACCGTGATTACGGCTGATCAGCTACAGGATGAACTGCCAGAGCTTACTGAGATAACATTACCAGGCGATGGAAAAACTTATTCGTCAGTCCTTCCTACAGGTTCGTCGAGTATTAAACGCCGTTCCCATGACTCGGATGACGAGTATATGTCACAAACGTATTCAGACAACAGCCAAGAAAAACGGAAAAAGATTGATGATTTCGAAGATGAAGACGTCATGGAAACCTCTCCAGCTAATCCAGCCGAAGAAGAAACTTTCGACGAAGCGTCTGATAGCGAAAGTTCCTCTAATCAAGAAAATTTGAATGAGACGGTTCGAACAGACGAGATCGCTCCTCAAACGGATAATGAAAGTCAAAATCCATTCTCATTGAGTATAAAGACAGACTATGAATTAGCTGGCATGATAGGAGAGATCATCGAGTTATTGGAGGAGGGAAGAACACTGCGCGAGTCATTTGAAGATGAAAATTACTGTGAAGAATTTTTCATGTCTTCAGCCAAAGATTTCGCCTCTGAATTAAAGAAGAAGTGTTGCTTTCTATTCACCTCAACAAAGAATGCCATGGAACATAAAGTAGAGAAAATGCCCTCAGTGTCAGACACTCAAACTGTTCATACGGAATCTTGTGTTATAAGCAATGACCCAGCTGAGCGAATAGGAGTTCAATTAAGTGAGCAACAAAAACAATATTTGATATCCAAAGGACCACACCAACCAGTTTTAGAGAAATACCCTTGCAATGTCGTGATTTCAAAATCTAAGCAAAATTCATTCAGCGCACAGTGGTACGAAAAATTTCCCTATTTACAATACAGTCTCTCCCTAGATAGAGCATTCTGCTTTGCCTGCAGTTTATTTGGTGATGGTGCTGGAACGGGAAGTGCAGAAACAAACTGGTCAAGCGATGGCGTGAATCGATGGGACAAGATGAAAAGTCGTGGAAAAGCCAAGAAAGGTAAACTTTGCGGACATTTTACCAGTACATCTCATAAACTTGCTGCCGAACGATTGAAACATTTTGAGCAGAAAAGCAAACATGTAGATGTTTCGATTTCTAGTGCCAGAAAGCAAGTGCTGGCGCAAGAAGAACAAGAACGACTACAAAACAGAAACGTAATTAACGTGCTGTTAGATTGTTGCCGATACTTATCAAGACAAGCTCTAGCGTTTCGCGGTGGTGATAATGACGAGGATGGAAACTTCAGACAACTAGTCAACCTTCTTTCACGCTGGATTCCATTTCTTAGAAACTGGGTGGCCAGTGTCCGTTCTCGCCAGTACCATACTACGTACACGAGTCCTCAATCACAAAACGAGTTCATTAACATCCTGGGGCACGAAACACGCAAGATACTTAAAGAACAAATATGTTCATCGAATGTATATGCCGTGATGGCTGATACAACGCCTGATGTCAGTCACCTGGATCAAATCTCCTTAATTATTCGCCACGTTGATGAACAGTTCCAGATTCACGAACGACTTTTGAAGATTTCGGAAATTAACGATAAAACAGGTGATGGTTTTGCTGCAAAAGTCATCAGCATGTTGAAAGATTTACAGCTTTCTACTGCAGGAATACGATTTCAGTGCTACGATACGACCGCTTCGATGTCTGGTGCTTATAACGGAGCTCAAGCTAAGTTGAGTGAGCGTTTAGGACGGACAATTCCCTATATTACGTGTCTTGGTCACAAGACAAATCTTTGCGTTGAACATTCCTGTAAAGCCTCGTTGATGATAGAAGAGTTCTTCACTACATTGCAAGATTTGTATAATTTTCTGACAAGGAGCACCAGTCGGTTCGGTAAGCTTAAAGGAAATATTGACGCATTACAAGAAGGACTCGTCATGAAGAATCTCTCCAAAACACGTTGGATAGGTAGAGCTGAGTCTATTAGAGCGGTTTGGGTCAGCTACGAAATTGTAATTGACACACTCGATGAGGTAAAAAATTGTGAAGATAGTGATCGTGATGCTATAAAAACGGCTTCGAATCTTTCGGACAGGATAAAGTCGTTCGAGTTTTATTTAAGCATGCTGTTCATGAAGAACATAATGTACAAAACAAAAATCGTTGTCCTCGAAGTTCAAGAAATTGATAAAGATATCCTTGCCAGCTTAGATGTTATGCGCCAAACGCGAGATGCTATGATTCGTATCCGGGAAGATGATCTTGGCCTGGATGGCATTGTCACAGCAGCTGTAGAGAATTGCAACTCATTTGGCATTGATGCCGAGTACGAGTTTTCAAAAAAGCATCGTCCACGAAGACCACCCAGACGCATTGACGAGAACGCAGACAATGCTAACGTACCATTATTCAACCAACATTACAGACAAGAAATGTTCAAAGTAGTCGACCGCCTCGTTTCAGATATGGATGATATTAACAATTATTTTTCTAACATTGTCCTTCCAGTGACGGTATTGCTTCCACAGAAAATTGCGAAATGCACTGAGGAAGATGCCGAAAATTTGTGTGCAACCTTTCCAGGTGACCTGAAAGATCCTGATGCACTACGGGCAGAGCTTGAAATGATGGGCAACGACATCGAAAAGAGTGGTGCCAAGAATTTACGGGACGCCGCGAAGTGTCTACTCGGAAGACAATGTTTCTACCCAAACCTTGCTAAAGCTTACCAGTTGGCGCTGACCATTCCAGTGTCCGTCGCAAGCAATGAACGTTCCTTCAGCAAGTTAAGGCTGGTAAAGAGTTATCTGCGATCGACAATGAAGGAAGATCGTCTCGACGACCTAATGATTTTAGCCAGCGCAAACGACATTTTGGATTACCTTGACCGACAGTCTGGCTAATGTATGGTCCATAAGTAAGACGAGGAAGACTAAAATCTAAAAGGATAATGCATGCAGCATGCACTGATCCACGACAATGCTCGCATTTAGTCGTTTTATTTTTAATAGACCTTACCGATTATTCTCTTTTTCCCAATGGCCTCGTTTCCATGTTAACTTATTTTAGCATTTCAGGGGCACGAATTTGTTTCTTGCTGTTCTTAGGCTCAATAACAAAGTAATTTTCAACCCTACTAAGCACAAAACATGAGCAAGTATTTGACATGGAAACAAGGCCATTGGATAAAAGAGAATTATCGGTAAGGTCTATGCCCATGGCATAGATAGAGACGGAGTAGAGTGGCCTAGCTAGAGTGATTGACTGAATATTTTACTTGAAACGTTACAGTTTTCATGTTTTAACCAGTTACATCAATAGAGTACAGTCAAGTTGATAAAGTTTATTGTATATAGTAACACAGTACTAGTGTACTTCCAATTTATTATACATACAAGATACAACCTAAACCTTGTACCACTTGACTATTCTTTCGCTATAGGTGCGCTTCAAGTGCGACACGTTTGTCGGTAAAACTTAGATGTTACACCCCCCAGTTAAAATGGTCACGCTATGCCCCTGCTCCTCGACAGTCAACAGTCAATGAAGTCACACGCGGAATTGGGCGCTCAATACCCATGATGCTTTGTGGCCTGCTGTCCAACCTCCTCTGGGTCGTATGTTAGTAAGTGTAAGGTGATTGTCCTGTGATGTTGTATTTTTTACTGGAGAACATGGTATGTTTGAATATTTATCAGTTATTGTGTGTATGTTTGTTACTTTTTGTCTAAAGTTTGTCCTGGTTAAGGCCAAATTTTAGAACGCAATATGCTGCTCAGAACCAGCATTCTCAGAACCCCCCGGACCCCCTAGGAGGGGCGTGGCCTTCGGACACGCAAGTTGTTCAATAGATGTTGCTACGGTCAGATTGAGGCTCTGGATCCGCCCCTGAATTGCTATGTCAATGTGCTGATTAAAGTCAGATTAAAGTGCATATGACACGAAATTTTGTTCTTCCATGTTTAGTTTAACCCATTAAGTGCCAAGCGTTCTCTCCTTGACAAGTAAAATCGTCTGGCGTTAGACAGAGTAAAATACTCTGGGGTAAAATTATGCAAGTAATTACGATAGATAATAATAACAAATTTTATTGTTTAATCAGAAAGTTTCTTGTAATATATGGTATTGCAAAGACTATTCACAGATTGCCTGGGGAAAATTACGTACCGCCAATGTCTTTTTCAAATCTGTAGCGGGCCGCACAATATATTACTCGGAAAATATAGAATTCTTCAAATATTAAATAGATATCAATACACATACAAATATAAAGCCAAATGAATGTACAGTAAGAATATATCACTATCAGTGAAATATATTTTCGGTAGTGTAAAAAGATGTTTCTTCATCACATTTCTTCATAAGAATTTCAAAAATGTTGTCTTTTGTTCCATTAATATTGTATTATATTTGCATGATAAGTGCCTAAAGCACAGAATAACCTAAAGCCTTTATAATGTCGTATATATAATGAGATGAAGAAACATCTTTTTACACTACCGAAAATATATTTCACTGATGGTGATATATTGAGTAGATTTGAAAAGACATTGGCGGTACGTCATTTTCCCCAGGCATTCTGTGAATAGTTTTTGCAATGCCATATTTTACAAGAAACTTTCTGATTAAAAAATAAAACTTGTTATCATTAACTATCGTAATTACTTGCGTAATTTTACCCCGGGCATTCATTTTTGACTCCCAGGCATTCTTTTGTGACAGCCGGACATTCCGTGAACAGTACTTTGCAATGCCATATATTACAAGAATTATTTAATCTTTCATAAAATAAGTGATTTTATTAGTATAAACTAACGTAATTATGAACGTAATTTTCCCTGGGCATTCTTTCCCAACTCCCGGACATTCGATGGATCTCCCCGGGCGTTCTTTAGTAAGACCCGTTTTTAAGCACAAAACCGTCAAATTTTATGACAAAAATGTGTCCGAAAGACTGGGGCAAATTTTGCAATTTTGAGTGAACAGTGACGTCATGTTGGTTGCACAAACAACAATTCAAAATCTTTGTGAACCTATCGACTCTTGATGTCCAGAGATTCAGAAACCAGTGAATCAGTTACGTCCTCTATCCAAGATAGTTCTAGCGATAATGACGAGAACTATGAAGTTTTCAGCAGCCAAATATAAGCACCGTACAAAGACGAACCACTTGCTGACGAATGTGAAGACAGCAATGAAGAAATTGAAAGCAATCTAGCAGATGAACACGCTGATATCGAAGGCCTTACACCTTCAGTATTGGAAGCGCAATATGAAAATATTGTATCAGTTGACTCCTGGTAAGTATTGAGCTATATTTTTTATGAAAATATATATTTTATCGATCATATTGATATATTAATTAAAAATTTATACTCGGATTGTCATTTTATATACATACAGGTGCAAATGTCAACATTGTCATGCTGAAAATTTGGTGCAGGCTCTGGAATTCCGTTGCTGTAGAGAAGTTGTTGATGTGCTAGGGAACATGGCCTTTGATGGCTCTATTGAAAAGATCAATTGAATCACAGAGCATTGAGGACTATGGAGCTATGACTAATCGTACAGTATTGGTTGAAATTGGCCCTTTATTAAAGCACAGAGATGGAAGTAAATACAAAAAGATAACTGGAGTGTCAGAAAATGAGTTAGTATACTGTATGTTTGATATTTATAAACATATGCACTGTACTTCACTTGGAGATTAAAAGGCTCCCCCCCCCCCCATGCAGAAGTTTCAGTAATATGTGTTATATGAGCTTGACTGCATTGTAAAAAGGGCCTGCAAGCCATGAAGAACATATATAGGTGCGAACAAAAACAAGGGCCAAACACAAAACAGCCCCCTTAGCTCGCAAAGGGCAGAGGGGCAGTCTAGGAACCGAAATATGGTAATTTGAATCCCATAGAATAATGTGAATGATATTTATTGTATAATTATAGATCTGAGAATTGTTCTGAAACAGTGTACCTTGTTACCTTGTTTTGTGTTTTTAGATTTATCAGAGCAACAGCTTATAGATGGATCATCAGGTGGCTTTGTGGGTATATGGGATGGGAGAATACTAGGCCACTCTCTGCACAAGTGGCTATAAAGATGCAACAAGCTAAAACTGTTTTTGTAGTGATGTCACTGTCTAAACTTTAATATACTATTTATACAGTACAGGAACTGGTTGCTCGAAAAGTGGATAACGCTATCCATTGGATAGTGATTTTTTAAAACCTTCGTTAAATTTTTTATTGATCGATATTACAAAAGAATAGGATTGATATACATATGATTAAAGGCTTTAATATTTAATATTCCATTAATGGTTGGCAAAAACAGACGTTTTGCCTTTCTTAGTCCACTTTTACTTAGGCTGAAAAATCACTATCCAGTGAATAGCATTATCCACCTTTCGAACAACTGGCCCCAGGACTGTACCTGAATATGTTGTTCTAGTTAGTTTTTCTTATCTACTTGTCAATTCAAACACCCCCCCCCCCACATATGCTATGTTTTAATGGGACTTTGCAGGGGAAATACAGAGTTGTAACAAACATTGCCATTTTAATATTAGGGCTTTAGCACTGACAAAAACACAGTGTACAGTAGTAGGGGTTAAACTCGTGTGGTCTGAACTGCAAATTGCACAATTTTTTTATCAAATATTTGCTCGAAATAAAAATGTTGTGCATTACTATTACTTTTTTTTCTACATTTTCTGAATTAGAACAATGTACAGCATAGCATGTCTAAAATGGACATACATGTACCTGTACAGACATGACAGCCCCTTTAAAAAAAAATTCTGCAGGAAAAGTGTTCCTCTTGCTGGCTCTGCCCACGCTTGACTTGATATGTCTGCGCGAGACGCAAGTGCGATTAAATATATCTAGCGTGTTGCCATTCAAGTGGGTTTTGGCGTTTGAATGAAACTGAAATTTAATAAATATTAGCTGTTGGATTATTTTATATTATGTTAGATTATAGCAACCAGCAGGGATGAGTAAACTATCTGTTTTTCTTGTACAATTGGCCGTTGTATATTATAATATATCATATGCCATTTGCGGCGACCTTTGAACTTTGATATATAAAGCTCGCTATTGCGGGTTTTTATGAGTCAATTATTCAACATCGATCTGTGATTCCTCTTTAGTTTCCCACTCACAAAAAATATTTGAAATACAAATAAGTACCCAGCATCTGGATGGTTCAAACTGTTTTGGGGTGGTGATGTTTAAGTGTGACATATTTCTCTTAAAACCTTAAGGATGCAATAAATGTTGTTGTTGAAATATAATATCCTTTCATATAAGACTCAGACTCCTGTCGAATATACTCTCAATATATAAACGAAAATATGTACTTATCATATGTACTTCTGTACATATTTTTCTCTCTGTTCCTTGCATATTATTTGAATACACTACTTACTAGTTGCAAATGGTTTATCAGTCATTGTGTATTTGTATTTCATAATATTTTGTTTCACGGCAGGGACCTGTAATATTAATGATAATGGCGAGCACGAATTCATCACACAACAAAACGTGTTGGACTTGCCGACACACAAGACAATGTTACTGTTGGTCACTAATACGTAGATTTTGTCCAGAGTACAGCCAACTTTGGTCCTACAATTAGATTTGTAAGCATTGTAATCTGGAACAATCGTTTTAGTGCAAATTATATTGACATTGTGCAAGACATTGTTGTATTCACAGCAATATTTTCATATCAGTGGCATAATCTTTAAGTTTCTAATTACCACAATGCAGTATAAGAGTAAAGGTTCCGTGATAATATTTTTGTACATATCCATAAATGTTTAGTGAGTCGGCAAGCCGTGTTTTTAAACATTAAGTTAATTTCCATTATCACCGCCTATATCAGCGATGTTTTGCTAATTTTAAAAGTGGTCACTCGATTGGGCATGGCCTCATGCATAGTCATAGTGAACAAGTACATACATAATAGCTTAATCTTTGAAGTGGATTTAGTAGAACATTATACCTAAAAAACACCTAGCTTTCTCCATGGTAGATCTATGCCAAAAAGTAAATAAAACCATGTTGCCTTTCGAATTTTGATGATGCAATTAGCGCTATGTGAGCACTGAGTATGCGGAAACTCGGCAACTTTGCAAGTTAAATATTCCATTTTCTAAATTGACTAAATAAGCTTAGATAATAAATATCCTTGAATTTTTCCCATTTAATCATGTTAATTTTCTTATTGGATCATTTTATGTTCCGATTGATCATTTTAATGTTTAATTTTGCGATTGTGCGAATTAAGAAGTAATTATATCCTGTTGGGCTGCTGCCTGACACCGTTATCTGCGCTTGTGACAATAAGTACTTATCTAAATGGACGTGGATGATCAGACTCTAGTATTTCTGTGCTACTTGTCTGCTAGAATTTTCTGCAACTATATCAAGTTCCAGGGAGATTAAAATAGTGACAAAATTACGTTCTGAAGTATTTCTACGTAGGACTGCGGAGCAATTATTGTCAATGTCAATTATTGTGACGTATGTAGTACAACGTCTGTACAAGTGATAGCCAAAATTATTTGGACGGTGTTATATTTAATCCCTGCCAGGGGGAACACCGTTCCCCCATGTTTGATTTTGGCAGAGGGGACGCTGTTCCTCTGGTAAAAAAAGGTGGGGGCACGGCGTTCCCCCTGGAAAACATCACTGGCCTATATCTTGTCACATGACCAGTTTCCATGTAAACCAAATAGTTGAAAAATATCGGCAGTTGATTTCCAACATCTCACCCAAAAATGAGTCATAGTTTACTTTGTTAATCTTTAATTAATTTTTAAAGATTTTTTCTATTTTCCCAGGAAATTGGAGCCAGGCATTAATGCACCTGAGCAGCAACTAGCAAACGAAAAAAAGAAATGTTGTTAGGTATCGTGTGTTATTTTCACTGGCTCAAAAGCATTCTCTACAGCTTCCTCCTTTCCAACACGATTTGGAAATTGAGTATTAAGTGGCTGGGGTTTCTTGCTGCAATAGAACTTGTACACCTTTTCCAGATCCTCCTCTTCCGTTTTAAACATAACTTTATGCAATCCACATAGTCTAAATAATACAGCAGGTATAATACCAGACTGACAGTTGATGACAGAAAACACCTCAGTCAGTGTCAGTATTACAAACTGTCTTATACAGTACATACATGTTAGTCATATCAAATGATATATCTTGCCATATGTACAATCTTTGCTAGAAACTATGGGACAGCTGCTGTAATTTCATATAATTTGAAAGGAATAGCGCGCCCCCCGTTCCCCCAGTTCAATGTTGGGCCAACAAAAATCTGATGTCTGGATATGTCATCATACGCGGCGCCAACACTGAAACAGGTGGGGGGAGGGAGGGTGGAAATATGTATCGGGAAATGGTATATTACAACCGAATGCATGTGAAAACTAGATTGTCCCAATCTATATTGTCAAAGATTGTAGGTGGCACAGGCACTTCTCTTACAACTTCCTCCCCAAGTTTAAATTTGGGATATGTCACTCTGAAGTATTTTTCGCCTCCCTTTGACTTTTTACAATCACAGTGTATATTCTCATTGAAGTGCAGACTTGCAAGTGTGCATGTCTAAAATGCCAAATATATAAAAATGTACTTTTTGCAAGCAATCGTACAAACACAATTTTGGTCAAAAACCTTGACACACTAAACATTTTCTGACTTCTGTTGGTATATTATGTAACCACATAAATCTGGTTACATAATTATATAACTGCGAAACAGTCACACTGTACTGTACAAACAAAGATCTTGTAGGACCTTGTAGGTATTTTTACAACAATATATACCTGCAAAATGTTCCTGGCCAAGCAAACCCAATCATCTTTGGATGCCAGTGATTAAAACTCTTTCTTGACCACCCCCTTTCGCATCATATTACGACACAATTTTTCTAAAATAAATATCTCGGTGAGTATTTACCCCCCTTTTAAATCAAAGCCACCATTGTAATCCTCACAAAATAACCTTTCGAACGGGGGGTCAAGTGCCGTCGGAACAGTACACAAACTGAAACAATCGTATATTTACTCACCGCTTGGCCAAAGATTCTAAATTTCATATCCACAAGATCTTGAATATCCCTTGAACTTTTCGACATTTGCTGAACAGCTATTTGTGTAAAATACTCTTTGTATTCAAGCGCTTTCGTGTACAAAATTTCATTTGGATACGGCGAGTAGAAATATTTATTTTGACTTTTTCAAGATGTTGGGTTTTACTCGCACTTGCGTACATTGCGCAATATTTGGCGAATAAGAGGCTCCTGTGGCCGGGATGACGTCAAACTCACTAGCTCTGTATAATGAATATACCGCCTACATATATCAGTACTTCATTGAAAGACCGTCATGGGGGAAAGGTCCGGATGAGAAGCGAACGTTCTAAAATTACAAAAATTTACAATAACGAGAATGATTCCTCAAAATTTTTGGGAACTTGGCAAAAGGACAGAAGAATATTTAAAGAAAATAAATAAAATTGCTTCAATAGCCTTCAAAGCACTGACTTAGTACAATAAATCACTGCGAACACAAATCATATAGACCCCCCGGAAAGTTTACTCTATGACTGACTGACTGACTGACTGATTTGTGTGAATTTGCCAGCCATCACAACAGTGTGAAGTGAAACTTCACATTAAAAATGAAGAAACTTTGAAATAAAAACCGTTGAAACGTAGTAGTACTTTTTGGATTTAAATCTCGTTAGGGACTGGTCAAAGTATAGGGGGGAGTTGGGCCATGAAATTTATCCTTTTAAAATTTCATAGCCTCCTATACTCTATGACCAGACCATAACAAGGAATAAATTAAAAGAAGTACTACGAACATCTATTGAATCATTTTGAAAAATACACTATTGATCATACATTTTCGAAATAAGGCAAATGTGGATTTTTGTAACACTGTAAATACTGTGATGTTTATGGGCTGTAAGAAGAATTGATCATCGGCAAGATACTGTACCAATTTTAATCCATTTTCTTGGTTCCAGCTCTGCATGTTTACAACTGCTGAAGAGTGGGTCTGGGTGGTCAGTATGTTTGTTTGCTACATGTCTCATAAACAAACACTTAGCTTTCATAAGAGAACGAAACCCAGCCTTAATGGACGTTGCACACCAGTACATATGCCGGCAGATTCCCTTCATCCAGTTGCCAATAATTTCATAGCCCTTTTCTTTGCTTGCCTTTAATAACTTCTTCGCCACAAATCTTGCCACATGCCAGATATCATAGTAATGTGTGGTATTTTTATGCTCTAGGCGAATCTACTTGGCAATCGGCCAATCCCACGATGCCGGTCTGAAACAAATGTTTCGATGTCAACACCCTCATTGGCAAGAGATTTGAAGGACCGTTTTGCTCCCTGCAATTCTGTCTGTTGGTTACCACCAGTTTCATTTGCCTGGTAAAAATATAACAATCACAATAACATATTGTGTGATGCACTCCAAAATAGTCAAGACATATTACATCTGATCTAAATCTACCATTTCAGTACGGTGGCCCATAAGTGCAAAACACAATACACACTACCAAAACACAATACACACTACCAAAACACAATACACTAAACCAAAACACAATACCAAAACACAATACACTAAACCAAAACACAATACACTAAACCAAAACACAATACACTAAACCAAAACACAATACACTAAACCAAAACACAATACACTAATATGTTAATTTATGAATCGAACCGCGGACCAGTATTAACACAGATTAACACAAAAATCGCGCCAAATTATTTAAAAATGGTGGATGCTGAGCAAGAAGAAACTATAATTCGACATTATTTCTCGTTAAATTACGACTACAATACAATTTTGAGTTTTCTCAAAAGAAATCATGGGATAAACATTTCAAAAAGAACGCTTTTAAATCGTTTAAGTGAGTATCAGCTCCATAGAAGACATCGTAATGTTGAAGAAATTGTTCGAGAATGCATATCAACAGAGCTGGACGGTTCTGGTTCACTACTTGGTTACCGATCGATGTGGCGTATTTTACATTCAAAATATGGCGTCAACGTCCCAAGATCAGTTGTTCAAGTTCTTTTGGCTGAGCTTGATCCGGTGGGAACCCAGCAAAGAAAAGCTCATCGTCTGAAAAGGCGGCAGTATTCCAGCCCCGGTCCCAATTATTGTTGGCACTCAGATGGGTACGACAAACTAAAGCCGTACGGCTTTCCTGTTGACAGCTGCATTGACGGATATAGTCGAAGAATTATCTGGCTCAAACTTACTAAAAGTAACAACAATCCGCATATTATTGCCTCATTCTTTTTAGAATCTATTAAGGAATTACAAGCTTGTCCGGCACTCTTACGACAGTGCAGTGTTTCCTTCGGAGAAACCATAACGATTCATTATCCGGTTTGGGTGCTCATCGTTATGGCTCATCGCATACAAATGAACGGATAGAGGCATGGTGGTCCTTTCTACGAAAGAACTGGAGTTCATGGTGGATTACCTTTTTTAAAGATATGGTAGATACTGGGGATTTTTTAAAGATATGGTAGATACTGGCGAAATTGAGCTCCGCCTATATTCGTAAAAATGCCTCCTAAATCAAAACCAAAATCTCAAAATATAACTACCGATGATGGCGGTGACGAGTATATATCCTTATCGACTGTTAAAGAATTAATGTCGGAGCAAGAAAATGCCTTTAAAGTAATGATCGACTCTCTGATTAAATCTACTACATCAAGAGTAGATGGGTTGGTAAAAGATTTAGCTGAATTAAAATACAGCTTAGAATACTCGCAGAAAGATATAGCCTCACAACAGAAAGAACTTGATAGAAATCAATCCGAGATTCAATCAATGAGCAATGAAATATCAAATATCAAGATGTCCCTTGATAAGTATTCTACAAAGACAGTTGATTTAGAAAACCGAAGTAGAAGAAACAACATACGAGTAACCGGCATTCCGGAGAAGCGAAGCGAAACGTGGGATGACTCGGAGGCAATGGTTAAATCTGTCCTTAAAGAGAAGCTAGGGCTAGCATCTGAGCCTCGCATCGAAAGAGCGCATCGCGTCGGTTATTCTACTAAACGGGATGGATCGCCTAGAAATGCTCCTAGACCGATTGTATGTCGTTTGTATGATTGGAAAGAGAAGGAACATGTTCTCAAACAGGCCAGAATACATAAGCCGTCTGGTATTTATGTAAATGATGATGTTGCCGAAGCCACAATGGTCAAACGACGTGAACAAATACATAAGTTGAAACAAGCAAAGCAGGAAGGGAAGATTGCTTATTTTGTCTTGGATAAACTCATAATTAAAGACAAACGATCTGGATAAAGTCAGTATTTACTTATTCTATAACTAATGTGTTTTATAGTAAGTTATTCAAATAATTAATATAAATATGGCTTCTATACCTATGAACTTCTTACCCTTTTCTGATTTAGATGATGAGAGCTTCTTATTGACTCTTTATGAATTTCAAAATGGGTCTATTAGTTATAATCAAGATAGATTAGGTACATTATTTTTTAATCCTTTATTATTAAATACAAGACACCATCTTGCTTTAAACAGTAACTTGGACCCAGATGAAAATTTTCTCGGTGAGCTGAATAATACACCTTGTGAATATTATGTCGAGGATCAGTTTAATGAAATGTTTAGAAATGAATGCAAACATGGTAATGTGAGCCTTTCAACTTTACATTTAAATATTCGTAGTATCTCTCAAAATAAGTCATGCTTTACTGATTGGTTATGTGGCTTAGATATCAAATTTTCCGTTATTGGTATTACTGAGACGTGGATAAAAGAAGCAGACAATCTGGCAGGCATTGACGGTTACAATTTTATTCATAATCATAGAAGAAATAGAACTGGTGGCGGTGTGGGAATTTATATATCAAACGAATTGCATATTAAAAGCCGCAATGATTTGAATTTTTCAGATTCAAATTCAATAGAAACATTGTTTATTGAAGTGATTAAATCTCGAGGGAAGAATATTATTATCGGAGTTATTTATAGGCCACCTGATCAAAATCTTGATACTTTTGTTCATTATTTTGATACTATTGCTGAAAAAATTTCGAGAGAAAATAAACTTGTTATATTATGGGAGATTTTAACATTAATTTCATGAATTATCAATGTCACAATAAAACAGGCGAGTTTGTGGATAGCATTTTTTCTAACATGTTATATCCACGTATTACTCGTCCAACCAGAATTACAGCGCACACCGCCACATTAATTGATAATATACTTTCAAATAATTTGGAATGTAATACAAAAAATGGACTTTTTTTTCAGACATATCTGACCATCTTCCAATCTTCTCTATAGTATTCGAAAATAAAAATAATCAAGTCAAAGACGATACTGTAACTTATCGAGATAAAAGCTCAAATAATATTGAAAAATTTCAGGAACTTTTAGCGAATTTGAACTGGTCCTCGATAGAAGATTCGGGTGATCCAGCACACGCGTACATGATATTTCACAAAATGTATTCAAATATTTATAACGATTGTTTTCCAGTAAAAACAATAAAAAGAAAATCCAAATTTTATAAGCCTTGGATTTCTAAAGGTATTTTGAAGTCCATAAAGAGGAAAAATAAGCTTTACAAATCTTTTTTACAAAACCGAAATCCTATAGCCGAGAGTAAATATAAGGTCTACAAAAATAAATTAACACATTCAATTAGAATTGCTAAACGTATTTATTTTGATATGAAACTGAATGAAAATAAATCAAATATGAAAGCAACATGGAAAATATTGAATAGTATTATAAATAGAAAAAATACGAAATCAAAGATTAATTCTATTTTTAAACTGGATGGAAGAGTAACGTCGGATGCATTTGAGATTTCCAATCAATTTTGCAATTACTTTAGTAATATAGGACCCTCGCTAGCTAGGAAAATTCCAACATCGCTAGTTCCTGTTAAGTCATTTTTGTCTGGGCAATTTTCGAATACTGTTTTTCTTCAACCGGTGTCAGAAAATGAAATAAAAAATATAACTAAAGCTTTCTCATCCGAAAAAGCTGCCGGATATGACAATATTTCAATGTCCATTGTCAAATTAACTATCAATTATATTTCAAGACCTTTAACACATATTGTAAATTTATCTTTGTCGCAAGGTTTTGTTCCAGATGAAATGAAAATAGCTCGAGTCATTCCTTTGTATAAGTCTGAGGATAAATCCTTTGTTAAAAATATAGACCAATTTCCATTTTACCTGTGTTTTCAAAAATACTGGAAAAAGTATTTTACAACCGAATACTAAACTATTTGAATAAAAATGAAATTCTATATGCAAATCAGTATGGTTTTAGAAAGGGTCATTCAACTGCATCAGCCCTTCTTGATTTATACGACAAAATATCTGAGGCAATTGATAAAAAGGAAGTCGCTGTTGGAGTTTTCTTAGATCTGTCTAAGGCCTTTGACACGGTGAACCATAACATTCTTTTTGAAAAATTGGAGTATTATGGTGTACGTGGCATAGCGCTGAGTTGGATAAAAAGCTATTTTTCTAATCGGAAACAATTTGTTCAGTTTAATAATTCATTTTCTACCTCAAAGAATATAACCTGTGGAGGGGTCTATTTTAGGTCCTCTTTTGTTTTTGATATATATAAATGATATTTGTAATGTTTCGACTCTTGCAAAACTGATCTTATTTGCTGACGATACAAGTTTGTTCTTTACTCATAGGGATCCGGTTTACTTGGTAAATATGATAAACCAAGAGCTGGAAAAATTCTCGATTTGGCTTAGGACAAATAGATTATCTTTAAACTTGGATAAAACAAAATTTATGATTTTTAAACCTAGACAAAAATTATTGGAATTAGATGTGAAACTATTATTAAATGATAGAGAAATTGATCAAGTGGAAAAAATCGTTTTCTTAGGAGTTATTTTAGATGACAAACTTTCTTGGAAATCTCATATTAGTCATGTGTCAACGAAGATTTCAAAATCAATAGGAATAATACGTAAATCTAGTTTTTTTCTTTTGAAACAATCATTGTTTACTTTGTATTACTCATTGGTGTACCCATACCTGGAATATTGCAATATTGTTTGGGCATCTACGTATGCATCCAACCTGTTTCGTTTGGTAGTTCTTCAGAAACGTATTGTTAGAATTATGAATAATAGTACATTTGATTCTCATACAAGCATGATCTTTAAAAACCTTCGATTATTAAAATTTAGTGACATATGTAAATTGCAAACATGTCAATTCATGTTTTTGTATATAAAAAATCTTGTACCAGAACATTTTAAAAATATTTTCCTATTAAATAGCCAAATACATAATTATAATACTAGAAGAGCAAATGAATTTCACACTGTAACTCCTAGAACAAATCTACGTCAATTCTCTATAAAATACCAAGGCCCATTTCTCTATAACAGTTTAGACAATGATATTGTGAATAGTGTATCGCTTTCTTCCTTTACAAAGAAATTAAAAAAACTTTTCTGCTCCATGTATAATTAACTAAGCTTACCATTGTTATTTATTTTGGAATAAGCTTATAATTAGTGTGAATTCTTAAACGAGAGGGGGTTTGATAATTTTAATAAGCCTAATTGGTTTCCTATATCAAACCTCCTCGTCACATAGGCTTTTAAGTAAATATTCATTATTTTGTTTGAAAACATTATCTTTCTTGTTATTATTTAACTTACATTATTTGACATTTTTTTTTGTAAATAATTGTTGTGTGTGACAAAATTTATTATTAAACATTAAACATAAACGTCATTAGGGTACATATTGATGAAAGACTAACATGGCATGAACACGTGGAATTTCAGGTTAACGGCCGAACCACAAGCGCACTTTTGGACGCAACTACAGAATGGTTAAGCAATATGGATAAAGGTCAACTGAATTCTGTAGTGTTTCTTGATTTGGCCAAGGCATTTGATACGGTGGATCATGAGATTTTGTTGAGCAAACTTCAGATTTATGGAGTTGATTCAATGAGTCTCAATTGATTTAAATCGTATCTATTTGACCGAAAACAAAAATGTAATGTAAATGGTCTAGTATCGAGTGAGCGCTTGTTGCTATGTGGGGTACCTCAAGGATCTATTCTTGGTCCTTTGCTATTTCTTGTTTACATTAATGACCTTCCTTCTTGTCTGCAACATTCTACAGCACGAATGTATGCGGAGGATACAAATATAACTACAACTGGAAAGTCGATAAAGGAAATAGCATCTGGAGCCAATACAGATCTTGAAAATATTCGCATATGGCTCAAAGCAAATAAACTTACCCTGAATGTTACCAAAACGGAGTATATGTTCATTGCGTCTGACAGTAATCTTGACAAACTGCGGGACATACCATATTTAGTTTTGGGTGGAAAACCCATAAGAAGAGTTAAAGTATCAAAATCACTACGGATATTTATTGACGAAAGATTGTCATGGAGAGATCATATTGATAAAATCTCTAAGACCATATGCTCCGGAATTTCCGGTCTTCGGCAAGTGAGAGAGTTTGTTACCCTTTCAACATTACTTACAATATATAATTCACTAATTCAACCAATATTTGACTATTGTGATGTTGTTTTGGGTAACATGTCAATCACACTTGCTCAACGACTCCAAAAACTGCAAAATCGTGCAGCAAGAGTTATCACTCGTCAGGGTTATGAAGTAAGATCTAATGATATTAGAAGTCAATTGAAATGGAAAACACTTTCCGAAATAAGGAATAGTCATAAACTCATAATGATGTATAAAATATTAAATAATATGGCTCCTGTTTACTTACGTGACCATTTTAAAATGTCTTTCACGGACCAAGCTTATTCTCTTAGAAATAGAAAACTATGTCTAATTTTGCCAAGAGCACAAACAGAATTCCTAAAGAAAAGTTTTGCCTTTTCTGGAGCAAAAGTTTGGAACGAACTACCAGAAGAAGTAAAATGTAGCAATAGTTTACAAATCTTCAAAAAATGTATCTCATCTCATGCCTAAAATTGTACATAGCTATTTTTAATATAATGTCGGCCCTCTTGTAAAGCAGTGGTATCACTGAAGAGTTCACCGAATTTAAATAAAAATATCTGTCTGTCTGTCTGTCTGTCTGTCTGTCTGTCTGTCTGTCTGTCTGTCTGTCTGTCTGTCTGTCTGTCTGTCTGTCTGTCTGTCTGTCTGTCTGTCTGTTTTTCCGTTTTAATTTGCTTAAATTTTGCTTGGTTTGTTTTATGTTTGTTTGGTTTGTTTGTATGTTTGCTTTCATTTGTTGATCATGGGTTTATTTATTTGCTTATTTGTTAATTTCCGATCCCAAAAGCACTTCTTTCACTAGAAATAAAGCTACTTTACTCATTTTTGTTTCGGCTCAGGAAAGCGGAATTTGAAAGAAATTTTCCTTTTCTATCCCACTTTCCATACGTCATTTTATTAATGCATTTTATAGAACGGGAATTTTGGTAAGCAATGGTCAATGGAATCATGTCTGCATCACATGGAAGAGTAGTGATGCTGCTGTGCAAGTTTACAAAAACGGCGTACTATTAGAGAGCAAGACTGCGTCTATCCAAGGAAGGCCCATTTTGCCATTTGGTATATGGATTATTGGGCAGGACCAAGACAGCTTTGGTGGAGGGTTTCAATCAAGAAACGCATTTCATGGTTCCCTTACTGACGTCAATGTGTGGGACAGAGACCTGGATGCGAGCGAGATTTTATCCCTTGCAAACAATGACTGTGGATCGGGCACGAAGGGAAATTACAGAGCGTACGATGATTTCGTTCCCTACGGAGGTGTTCGAAAGTACAAATCGCAATGTTGTAAGCATTAGCTTTTTATTTTTGCTTTGGCTGTTTATAACAAGACTGAATCTTGTGAACATACGTGATAATTTCTGGCCTCTTTCATGCATGAAAGAGGCCAAAAATATCAATTTAGTCCCTGATTGTGTTGTTTCTCCTTTGCATGGCTAAATTATCTCGCACATTTTTAGTAATTGCTGTGCGGAATTTTCAAGGAAATTCTTGTCTCGTTCCTAAGGACTATCTTGAACCTTTTTCAAACGGCTGACTCAAATCATTACACAGGCTTCCTGAACAATGCTGTTATTGGCAATCTATCTGACCGTATTTTAATAGCTTCAAATATTCCGAACGTACTTTGTTCTTTTAGTCACAAGTAGTAAAAGTATTATTACAAATCTATTATCTGGAGAATTCTATATTTAATATATTGCTATTAGCCTATTACAGTATAATGCTTCGTATTATTGTTATATACATTTCCTCGTTGTAGATACGCCCTGCGTCAATTTGACTGTTGACAGTTTATTTTATCGCAGTCGACGCTGATTGGTTCGCGTTTAGCAAATGCGAAAAGGGGATGATTGAATAAAACGCATCGTTTCGTGCAGGCTCACCTTTCCCTCAGTGAGCTTGTTCGCAGGCTAGTTTTTGCCTTTTTATGCCCTTTGCCAACACACTTTTTTCTATGTATTTTACTTCATAAGAAACGAGCAAAATAGTTGTGCTCTGCTTCTAAAATCCAGCGGCAAAATATTAACTTTTAATCATTCATAGTTTAATTTAATTATTTACAAAACCTAACAGTTGAAAGGACATGCCTAGCAAGAGGTGATCCACACTACTCGACATTTGATGGAACACGTTATGACTTTATGGGTACATGTGAATACGTTCTGGCTAAAGACAGTTTAAATAACGCATTTGAAGTAAGACAAGTGAATGAACCATGTGGAAATGGAGAACCTTCCTGCACAAAATCTCTAACAGTGATTTTCCCAAATGTAACTATCCAACTACTGCGGGGAAGTGTAATGGTAAATGACACAGAAATTGTTTTGCCTGCAACGTATGGAGGTAAGTTCTTTCAAACTTCATACTATAGATAGCAGTATATGCTTCAGGATTTGACGGTCAAGTTAGAATTTCTAACTAAATGCATGCATAGTACAAATTTAGTGGAATATCGTTCTATTTCTTAAAACATTTATTTTAGAAAGGAAGTTCGTCATATTTCCTTTTTATCTTTATAATAAGTCAATATCATTCTCCCTAGTATTGGAGTAGCAATAGTGGAGACCCTGTTGCAAACTGCTGCCTCATACTTGATCGGTAACTTATTACAGACAATTATTTCCTAATATATCGGAGAGTGCATGGGTAATATTTAATAGCAATTTTCAAACTCGATCCTTTATGTTTTTTGTATAAAGGTGTGGCAATAACTGAACCAAGCAACAGAGTAACGTTGATTGAAAGTGATTATGGTGTAGAAGTTGAATGGAATAATGTACGTAATGTGAGAGTGACAGTACTTGGTCGCTATCTGAACAGAACATCAGGTTTATGTGGAACATTTGATGGAAATCCTGGAGATGATTTCTTAGCAGCAAATGGAACAACTGTTGACAATGCTGTAACCTTTGGAAATTCTTGGAAAACTGATCCTGGTTGTGATGATGCAACAGATGTACAACATCCATGTGTAACTCACTCTGACAGAAACGCGACTGCTATAGCCAACTGTTCAGCTTTGTCATCTTCTCCATTCGATAACTGTGCAAACCTGATTAATCCAGTTTCAGAGGGTTATATTACCGATTGTGAGTATGATGTATGTGCTTGTGGTGGTGATGCTACAGTTTGTCTATGTCAAGCAATAGAGGCTTATGTCAGTGATTGTAATTCTACTGGAGTGGATATTGATTGGCTGAGTGATCCACGATATCAACAATGTGGTAAGTGATCAATCTAGTTGAATTTCATCGCCAAGTTTATTGCAAATTTTGGAGGTATGGAGACACAAATTTTTTAATCATTATGCCGAAATTCTGAGTTTGACATACGAAATGCATATTTTGAAGGACGTGAAATGTTGCACATTATTTCACGTCATATACTTGGTAAATTCTTTATCATGAATATCAAATTCTGTGTTAGATGGTTCAATGCAATGAAAATTGTGGGACCTTTTGCATTAATAAAAATGAGTGGCTATTTAAGACACCAAAGAAACTCAATTTGTTCGGGTGACCTCCAGATATGCATTGTGCATAGAGTAGCCCATTTTATAAGAGGAAACTACTAAAGGAATGTCTTCATACTGGTATATGTGGCAAACACATTTACTTAGCAAAGGAAACTTCAGAAAGATTATTGTGGCTATATGACCTAGAATGGAATTGCTCAACATTTATTAACAGAAATTTGAACTGTTTTAATCTAATTTATCTAATTTAGGTTCACCATGTGCCAGTGATCCATGTTTCAATGGTGGGACTTGTTCAAATGATGGACAGTCATTCTGTTGCTCATGTCCTGTTGGATACAATGGTGACCGCTGCGAAATCAAAGGTATAAACATTATTTTCAAGAACGTATGGTACTGGACATGTTGTTCAAAAACGCATATATTTAACAATTAGACACCGATGGCGAGGTGATCACAAGCCTATGTTCATCAGCGAAGTGAATATAGTCTTTAGATCACCTAGTCTGGGGTGCCTAATTGTTTTAGTATAAAATGCAGTATTGAGAACATAACAATATATACAAACGTTGTGTATAAAATTTACTTCACTTTTCCGATTTTGAGTCAAACGAATCCAGCTGTCGGAACTTTGTTGGCCGATTCTGTTATTTTCCGGTTTTAAATTGCCAAATAAATTGTTTTCGGAAGTAAAAGGTGCTTTTGTTTTTCCGAAATAGGTACCATACCATATATTGTTGCTTGTTTTGCTTTTAGAGGAATAGTTTGTGCTTTAATTTCTTCATATTTTTCCTCCATGATTTCGGCAGTCATTTTGTTTTGAAAGCAATAGTTACTATCCCAAGCTGTCTGAGCAGTAACTATTGCCTCATGGGAGCGAGCCAATCAGAACGTTTGAAATCCATATTCAATACTGAATTTATTATAATACTGTTTAGTATAAATTTAGGAGATCAAATGAGCTTTCGCGCGTTGTGATTGGCTGGTTGACTGGTAAATCTGACGCAATAGTTTCAAGCATACTAATAAATAAAGCTTTTAATGCTAATAAATAATACTATTTCTTTTGATTTGTCATCTTTTCATTGTACTGCATGGTGTCCTGACGCTGTATTGTGTTTTGGAATTGCAAAATGCAAATTGTATTAAAACTTTATTTCGAGGCATTCGAGCAATATTTAATATATATCTCAGTCAGTTTTAGCATTTCCCAGCCATTTCCTTAACAAATTAATGCTCAACAGAAACTATTTGTCCATCATTGTGTTTTTATTCTAAGCAGATATCGAGAAAAACAACTTTGTAATAAAGCAATAAAGTGACATGGGAAGCCATTTTGAAAGTGTCTGCGTACAACAAACACTGCAACACTAAAACAGAATATATATATATATATATATATATATATATATATATATATATATATATATATATATATATATATATATATATATATATATATATATATATATTTCGAGGTTTCGAACATCAAAGGTAATTTGTATTTCTCTATAGGTTTTGCAGATGCGTTGTACTTCAGAGGAGAGAATACTGTTGAGTACGCGAAATATGAAAATAATTCCTGTCGGGTGAGTATTTAGGCCATCAGCCACTCAGCAGATTTTGACTTTTCGTTTCCCCCACACAGAGACAACAATTTGACGGGTGCAAATGTTGCTTAAAAGCTTATAAAGTCGAACAACAAAATGTTGTAATCGATAACACCTGCAGTTTTGCCAAAAATTGGCCTTCAAATTATGTAATTTTACATTATATCGTCGCCATTTTTTCACGCATTTCGAAGCTGCGTGTGCTCCTCGCGCATACCACGAAGCAGTGCTTCCATTTGCAATTAAGAAAATTTGCAAGGAAATAAAATGCAAGGAAATAAAATTTACAGGAAATGGCAATTAATTTTGTTGTCAGGAAGGGAATAAGAGGGATATTACGTTATTTCTAAGATTACAGCATTTTCCAAGCAATCTCGATTCAGAAAATGTCAACAGCTGGAAAATTTGTTGCGCATGCGCCAGACTTCCATTGAAACTTGAAGATTTCCGTCATTTCCCCGGACTCCCGAAGAAATAACGAAATGTTCGTGGTTGTTGTATATTTTTGAATATCTGTTTAATCTTTATAATTTTTTTTGCTTGACACAAAGTAGAATATCCTCTACGTATCCTGTGTATAGAATATCTCGTTTGAACAGCAATAGAATATTATAATCTTGGCAAAAACAAGAAGACATTTGACACGCTGAATCTGCTTTATCTACAGTCATTCCTGCCAATGGTCGCGAGCTTGACAGCTAGTCTTGTCAATCGGAAAACAAGTACAAATTTGAGTTCAAACAGAAAGAAGTCACGATTTTAATACAACTAACATATATTCTATACAAATACGGCTGTTTTAAAATGTTTTCAATTTGAATTTTCAAACTGCTTTTATCTATCGACATGATAATCAAACTGTGCAAATGCCGGCTTTTGTTGAGGCTTGCGAATGCAAAATAACTTCTCGTAAACAGAGCATTTCAACACAAAACTCTCGCTTAGTCTTCTGATGCACTTGTACGTTCGGTTCTACTAGTTAAACAAGGAAAATATTCAAGAAACTCTGGTAAATTATGGTTGTCAAAAAACATTTCAGTGCTGAGGCAGGACAGGCAGTACAAGGTCACAAGACCAAGGTCAAGTTGTCGATTTCATTACATTTTACAGTGCTTCGTAGCCTGCGAATACAGACTCTATTTATGTCGCTTATTCCACTTGGAGGGGGGGGAGGGGACGCGATAAATAAGTTTTCCCCCAAGTGGAATAAGCGACATAAATGTAGACTGTTTCGCAGGCTAAGTGCTTCGATGTTCTCGAATTCTTGCTTCATACAAGAGCAGTAAACGCACGCATTTCAAAGCGAAATTAGGCGCAAAGGGGCAATTTTTCATCAAAATTTGTTGTTAAATTCTGTTTCGTTAATTAAAACTAAATTTTCAAAACACTAAAAAAACTAGTAAGAAGATAAAAACCTTACTAATTTGATTTTCATTTTGGACAAATTTTGATTAATGTTAATAAACATGTTTATGGAAACAATCGCTTGACGTCCGCATTGCGCTTAATTCCGTTGAGGCATGCATAAATCTGCCTTCCTTTGAAACGCATGCTGGAACGCCCAATTCAAGGTATTATTACGACGGAAACATTTTACTCCTTTCCCCAGGAGACAGTCTCTCTACAGGAGATTTATTGTCCGAAAAATAAAGTTGCTACAGTTAACTATTTGCAGATCAAACATTGACTAAAAATGCTTACTCAGCATTTTTCCAAAACTTTGGTCAGCAATATTTCAGTAACAATTGACCGTACGTGATTATCATAATATAGTTTTTTTGTACACATGTGATGCTCTATCTGTCAGTATTTTCAAAGTTTTGAATTTCAAAAATTTTTAGTTTTCTCATGTATGGATGACGTCATACATAGATAAAAGCAATTTTCTCGAGACCTGCATGTTTGCCGAAGTACAACATTGGTGTTTTATCATTGAAATGGATCCACTCAACATATAATGAAATCAAAATTTGGTCTCCGTGGGGGGGAAACGAAACTTGCTTTCCAGCTTCATTCTCGCGAGTGGCTGATGGCCTAATTGTTGCAATCCAACATCATTTTCCCACAATCCTTAGGCCTGCATGTTTCATACGTCGCACTATCGTCGAATTTGATTCGGACGAATTTAATTGAACGAATTAAATGCGACGGTAGTGCATCGTTTGAAACGGATTACATTCGTCTGATGAATTACAATCGTCCAAGACCTTCTGTCCATCATGGTCAGATGGATACGACGTCTGTAGCGAGTCTTTGTTTCATTCGACGTGTTATCGTCGTGTTGAATTAAATGCATAAATCATGTTAAAGTTTGTTTCTGTGTTACTGATATCATCAGGGCTGCAAATAAATATTTGACTCGACAGGACATTCGTCCGATCACTTTTAATTTTCGTCGGTCATATATACGTCACAAGATATTAGATATATGTAAGTCACGAGACAAGTATGTATAGCCATTCCGGGGCAACGTTGAGTAATTTGCTAGACTGCCTCGTAAATTTTATTGCAAAATGTAAAATGAGTGAATTTGCAATCGGATTTTGTCACAAGAAAAAAATGTATAATGTGACAATATATTTTTTTGATCGGACCATGTCCGATCAAAATTACTTTTGCTCGGACATTTGCCGAATTTAGTCGGACATTGTCGATGTCCGATAGTAATTTGCGCCCTGTATCGTGGTTTTTATTTCTGCGTAATGCATGATCCCTAGACATAAAATTAATTTGTCGGAATAAAATTCGTCGTTTGAAACGAAACCATTTTAATGTCAACCAATGGACGAATTTAATAACGAATTGAATTCGTCTGAATTAAATTCGACGTATGAAACAGGCCTATCGGCTTCATGAGTGTGTTGATTTAAGCAAATATGTCTAGCTATGTGTAATAGTTATTTTTTAAAATCGGCAGTTAAAAATGTCCATCCCGCTCAGGTGGGATAAATAAAGCCTTCAAATGGATAATAATTTAGCCCAATTGACTGAAATCATACTTAGCGGAAAAGCAAGACTATCTCATATGAACAATAATTCAATCCATATACGTTAAATTAACGACAGCCAAACTCACTCAGGTGAGTTCCTTGGTTTGCTAGGCTAATATAGACTGTTCCTTAAGGTAATTTACATTTACGTAGTCTGCATGCACTAACTTCTATGGCAAGCAATATCCGTCTGTATCTTGATTGGAAAGGTGTGGCGAAATGTGAACTATTCTGTTTTAAAAACTTTGAATTGCATATTGTTTGTAGAAACATCTACTGAAAAATAATATTCTGCTACTTTATTTAAATCATACAATACATGTTTGACGCTAAAATTCATTGAAGAAACGTGCACCAAAATACACTTAGCTTTTCATATGGCGGGAAATCGAGCGAAAATGCCGCCGTGATCTAAAAAGTAACGTCAGAGTTGTCCCAACATCGCGACGTTTTGTATTCCAATCAACCATTTGACCGATCTTATCGACATAGGCGGCGGAACTGGAGAAGGGTTTTAGTATAGGTAATAGCCTGGTTTCGAGTGCAATTTGGATATAACATGCACGAGTGAGTTTTTCAAAGACCTTATCTAAAGGAATTAAGTGTTTTTATGTTTTTGAAACAAAAATATTTAGTCAGTCGATAAACTGAAAATCGCCTATTAAAAAATCGTCGAAAAGTATGGTTTCAAAAGCGTTGCCTCAAGCTTAAGTAACGTAAAAAAATACAAAAAGTAGTTGTGTTAGTTTAAATGGATCATTTAACTGCGTTTATATTATACATTTAAATTTTTTTAGAACATTCCTGTTGAGTTTGAGTTTGTCTTGATCTTTCGTGTTTTGTTTTGGCTTGCACAACAACGTTAAAAATGTATTCTTAAACGACGATTTCCGTATATATTATGTTCAGGTTTCTCGTAAAAATACTGGAATGGGTTTTCTTTTTTGCAAAACCTTTTTCCAACTTAAGTCTCCCTATAATTTTTTTTGGAAAACTTTGTTGGAAAAAATTGTTCGCACACCCTGCAACCTTGCGAATTTCCTTGCCGCAGGAGTCTGGGACTAGCCAAAATGCCCTTGTAAATCCGCCATTTTGTGGAGACAAAATTTTTACTGAAAAGAGGAGCAGGCATTCTATGTCTTTTGTTTCTATGGGGAGGACTAAGCCAACCCCATCTCCAAAAACGGGTAAGATTCGAACTATATACACAGGTGGATTTGAGAATATTATAATGTATTTGAAAGTATTTGTCAGCAAATTATTATATATAAAATTTAAACATTTGAAGTTGTTTTTGCCTGAACATCATATGCTGTGAGGAACGTCGCTGGGGAAGGGGGGGGGGGTGACAACTTTCTTGAAAACGTCTTCTCGGTAAAATAATAGATTTGCCGGCAAATTGTTTACGTTATCGTGATATTCATTTGCGAGATATATACCCAATAACCGTACGTTAACTGGAAATTGAATCTAAAAATGTTATGTCCGGAACCAAACCAAATTAACTAATTTGTTTTCCTAACTCTCCCCCTCTCCTAGAATTTTGCAATTTCGGGAAATAAATGTTAATTAACGACTAAAACCTTGTCGGCAAATGCAATACTACCCACCCCCTGTTTTGCTTCTCCGCGAAATCCCGCTTTAATATAGAATGTAATCATCTGCGCAGACTAGTAAATGGCCAGATAATATTCTAAATTTTGAGATGCGCCTGTATATAAAATGGGCACATTTACAGAATATATTCAAGAAAGATAAGTGAAAACCGGTATGTCTGTTTAAATTATAATGTAAATATAAAGTATCAAATCCCCCCTCCACCCCCCCCTTGTAGGAAAATATATAGGAATTACGCACCCTCCCAATATCTCCCCTCTCTTTGGAGTTGCAATGTAAAACCATCTCCACGACTCTTTTCAATCAAAGCGAGAAAGCCCCAAAAAATTAAACATAAATTTAACAAGGAAATACACAACGACTTTCTTCGTTGATCAGTTTTGATTGCTACCTTGCGCGACTCCCATCCTACCCATTTCAATCACTTATGCCATTATTTATGCACTTTACAGGCTGCTGTTCTTGATAAAGAATTAAATGCAATCACTTCATGTTTCTGGATTAAATCGCAAAAACGTTCGTACCCCGCTGTGTTGTCATATGCAGTTCCCGGTGAAGATAACGAATTCCTCATATATTTGAATCCACTAATTACATTGATAATAAAAGGCCGCGAATTAAGGTAAGTAAATCTAGACCTGTTGCTTTCTATTAATGAATGTGTTTTCACCTCTGTTTGTTTGTTTGTTTGTTTGTTTGTTTGTTTGTTTGTTTGTTTGTTTGTTTGTTTGTTTGTTTGTTTGTTTGTTTGTTTGTTTGTTTGTTTGTTTGTTGTTGTTTGTTTGTTGTTTGTTTGTTTGTTTGTTTGTTTGTTTGTTTGTTTGTTTGTTTGTTTGTTTGTTTGTTTGTTTGTTTGTTTGTTTGTTTGTTTGTTTGTTTGTTTGTTTGTTTGTTTGTTTGAATGTTTGTTTGTTTGCTTTCTTTTTTGCTTGGTTGCTTGTTTGTTTGTTTGTTTGCTTGTTTGTTGGGCTGGATTTGGTTTGGTGAGGTTCGGGTTGGGTTGGGTTGGGTAGGGTAGGCTAGGATAGGGTAGCGTAGGGTTGGGCTGGGTTGGGTTGGGTTGGTTGTGTTGGTTGTGTTTGTTGTGTTTGTTGTGTTGGCTGGTTTGCATGTTGGTTTGCATGTTAATTTTTGGTTTGTAGGTTTGTTTGTTTGTGTTTTGTGTCTATGTATGTGTGTGTGTGTGCCTGTATTTTGGAATACAATAAATGAGTTAATGTCCCGAAGCTCGAAATCTCCAAATATTTCTTCTCTGTTAATAAACAAAAAAGTAGTCACAAACAACACTGAAATAGCTGAATGTTTAAAACAAAATATTTTCCTGAAATAAGGTGCAAATTAACAAACAACGTACCGCAATTTAGCAATGGGAAAGGTTTTCATCAATATGTGCAAAGAGCTGCCACTGAAACGATGTATATATGGCGCCCAACCACTTCGGATGAAGTTATTAAATTAATTTCCTCAATATCTGATAAAAAAGCTACTTGTCTAAACCATATTCCGTGTAAAATACTTAAACTCGCTGCACGTATTGTTTCGAAATGATTGTGCGATAGTTTTAATTTATCTATACAAACAGCATTATTCTCTGACGACTGGAAATGAGCGAAAGTCTCCCCTATATACAACGTTGACGCAAAAGATAATCTAGGGGATTGGAAACCAATTTCGGTTTTAAGTGTGATTTCTAAGGTTTTCGAGCCATAGTTTTTGATCACCTTTACACTTATTTCAATGAAAACAACCTGTTACACAAGAGTCAATCAGGCTTTATGAAGTGACACCCCGTATAACTGCACTAATAGATGCCACATTAAATGGCTTACAAATATGTGGATCAGGGAAATTTTAATGCGGTTGCCAACAAGGGCAGATTTCGTGCTCGACCAATCAGCGATGCTGTTTACATTTTGGCACTCAACTGATCATAATGCAGGAAACGAGAAATTTACAGCAAGGCGAGCTAGAATATATTGCCGTCTTCGCGGGCTTCCGTGAGATTAAATGTTAACTTTTTTAATTTAAAACCAAAGATTATGGTGGAGCACGTTAAAATCTAAAACTTTGCCGTGGGAATTTTTAAATTTCGACCTAGAATTGAAAATATCCATGTTTGAAATTTTTCTCTATGTCGCGTAAACGATTTTGAGTAATCTAATTTGACTGCAATAAAACTGAAAATGCTATATTTTCTCTGCTTTTAAGTTTTTGTGGGAAAACTCTTTTTGGAAATTCTTTTGGTCAATATTTTATATCAAAACCTAGATGATAACGCGTTTATAGCGCTTGATTTAAAAAAAAATATAGTCGCACGCTCGCGATCATACGGCAAATCAATACAAAAATATTGTGCGTTCGATTTTGCAGATAATCAGACTCTCTAAACGCGTTATCTTCTAGGTTATGAAATAATACATTGAGCAAAATGATTCTCAACAAGAGTAAAAAAGAGTTTTTCAACAAAAACGTAAAGCAAAGAAAAGATAGCAATTTACTAATTTTATTGCAGTCAAATTAGATTACTCAAGTTTGTATACGCGACATATGGAAAAATTTCAAATATGGATATTTTCCATTCTAGGTCGAAATTTAAAAATGACCACGGCAAAGTTTTAGATTTTAATGTGATGCATCGTAATATTTTTGTTTTAAATTAAAAAATTGAAATTGAATCTCACGGAAGCCCGAGAAGACGGCAATATTTTGTAGCTCGCCTCGGTGTAAATTTCTCGTTTCCTGCATTATGATTAGCTGAGAGCGAAAATGTAAACAAATGCGCTGATTGGTCGAAGACGAAATCTGCCCTTGTTGCGGTTGTCTATATTGATCCAGCGAAGGCATTTGATAGAATAACTCACGAGATATTACTCTAGAAACTCCACATTTACGGGGTTGAAGCAAATAGCTTATCCTGGTCCAATCCTATCTACAATATCGCAAACAAAAATGTTATGTGAATGACGTTCTATGTGGCGAACGTAGCATTAATTGTGGTGTGCCTCAGGGGTCAATTCTTGCACCATTATTGTTTCTCATATATATGAACGATCTTCCTCAGTGTTTAAAACATTCTACAGCTCGAATGTAGGCTGACGATAAAAACATAACGACGACAGGAACATATCTTCGAGAATTAGTAACACATGCTAATGATGACTTAAATAATATAAGTGACTGGCTGAAAGCAAACAAACTCAGCCTTAACGTGACCAAAACTGAGTACATGTTCATTGGTTCAGATCAAGTTAAGGGATGCACCACTACTATTTGTTGAAAAAAAGCTATAAAAAGGGTCAAAGCAACTAAGTCATTAGGGGTACATATTGATGAAAGACTAACATGGCATGAACACATGGAAGTTCAGGTGAACGGCGGGAAAAGGGGTTTGTCCCATTATCGACATTGTTAACAATCTATAACTCATTAATACAACCATTATTTGATTACTGCGATGTTGTTTGGGACAGCCTTCTTGCTGCTGGTGCTTGCATCCTACAAAAGTTATAAATCGCGCCGCTAGAGTTATTATTGATCAAGGTTATGATATCAGATCCAATGAAATAGGAAAACATTGAATTGGAAAATTCTTGCTGAAATGCGAGACATACACAAATTAACTTTGATGTATAAGATATTAAATAATTTGGCACCAAATTATTTGAGCGACCATTTTGAATGGTCCTTAAATAATATCTGCCATAGATAATTTTTATAGATTAAGAAATAGAAAACTATACCTTGTACTACAAAAGCCTCAAACTGAATATTTAAAGAAAACCTTTGCATTTTCTGGAGTAAAAAAATGTGGAATAATTTACCTAAAGGTGTAAAATGCAGCAACAGCTTGGGCCAGTTTAAAAAGGAGCAATATATAATCACATCAGCCTCTAACTAAAATTGCATATATATTCGACTTTCTTGTAAAGCAGTGCAATGCACTGAAAAATTTCCGAATTCAAATAAACATCTGTGTGTGTGTGTGTCTGTCCTAATTTGCTTAAATTTTACTTTGTTAGTTTTATTGTTTTTTGGTTTGTTTGTATGTTTGCTTTCATTTGTTGATCATTCATGGGTTTGTTTATTTGCTTATTTGTTAGTTTGCGATCTCAAAAGCACTTCTTTCACTAGAAATAAAGCTACTTTACTCATTTTTGTTTCGGCTCAGGAAAGCGGAATTTGAAAGAAATTTTCCTTTTCTATCCCACTTTCCATACGTCATTTTATTAATGCATTTTATAGAACGGGAATTTTGGTAAGCAATGGTCAATGGAATCATGTCTGCATCACATGGAAGAGTAGTGATGCTGCTGTGCAAGTTTACAAAAACGGCGTACTATTAGAGAGCAAGACTGCGTCTATCCAAGGAAGGCCCATTTTGCCATTTGGTATATGGATTATTGGGCAGGACCAAGACAGCTTTGGTGGAGGGTTTCAATCAACAAACGCATTTCATGGTTCCCTTACTGACGTCAATGTGTGGGACAGAGACCTGGATGCGAGCGAGATTTTATCCCTTGCAAACAATGAATGTGGATCGGGCACGAAGGGAAATTACAGAGCGTACGATGATTTCGTTCCCTACGGAGGTGTTCGAAAGTACAAATCGCAATGTTGTAAGCATTAGCTTTTTATTCTTGCTTTGGCTGTTTATAACAAGACTGAACCTTGTGAACATACGTGATAATTTCTGGCCTCTATCATGCATGAAAGTGACCAAAAAAATCAATATAGTTCCTGATTGTGTTGTTTCTCCTTTGCATGGCTAGATTATCTCGCACATTTTTAGTAATTGCTGCCCGGAATTTTTAAGGAAATTCTTGACTCGTTCATTAGGACTATCTTGAACCTTTTTCAAACGGCTGACTCAAATCATTTCACAGGCTTCCTGAACAATGCTGTTATTGGCAATCTATCTGACCGTATTTTAATAGCTTCAAATATTCCGAACGTACTTTGTTCTTTTAGTCACAAGTAGTAAAAGTATTATTACAAATCTATTATCTGGAGAATTCTATATTTAATATATTGCTATTAGCCTATCACAGTATAATGCTTCGTATTATTGTTATATACATTTCCTCGTTGTAGATACGCCCTGCGTCAATTTGACTGTTGACAGTTTATTTTATCGCAGTCGACGCTGATTGGTTCGCGTTTAGCAGATGCGAAAAGGGAATGATTGAATAAAACGCATCGTTTCGTGCAGGCTCACCTTTCCCTCAGTGAGCTTGTTCGCAGGCTAGTTTTTGCCTTTTTATGCCCTTTGCCAACACACTTTTTTCTATGTATTTTACTTCATAAGAAACGAGCAAAATAGTTGTGCTCTGCTTCTAAAATCCAGCGGCAAAATATTAACTTTTAATCATTCATAGTTTAATTTAATTATTTACAAAACCTAACAGTTGAAAGGACATGCCTAGCAAGAGGTGATCCACACTACTCGACATTTGATGGAACACGTTATGACTTTATGGGTACATGTGAATACGTTCTGGCTAAAGACAGTTTAAATAACGCATTTGAAGTAAGACAAGTGAATGAACCATGTGGAAATGGAGAACCTTCCTGCACAAAATCTCTAACAGTGATTTTCCCAAATGTAACTATCCAACTACTGCGGGGAAGTGTAATGGTAAATGACACAGAAATTGTTTTGCCTGCAACGTATGGAGGTAAGTTCTTTCAAACTTCATACTATAGATAGCAGTATATGCTTCAGGATTTGACGGTCAAGTTAGAATTTCTAACTAAATGCATGCATAGTACAAATTTAGTGGAATATCGTTCTATTTCTTAAAACATTTATTTTAGAAAGGAAGTTCGTCATATTTCCTTTTTATCTTTATAATAAGTCAATATCATTCTCCCTAGTATTGGAGTAGCAATAGTGGAGACCCTGTTGCAAACTGCTGCCTCATACTTGATCGGTAACTTATTACAGACAATTATTTCCTAATATATCGGAGAGTGCATGGGTAATATTTAATAGCAATTTTCCAACTCGATCCTTTATGTTTTTTGTATAAAGGTGTGGCAATAACTGAACCAAGCAACAGAGTAACGTTGATTGAAAGTGATTATGGTGTAGAAGTTGAATGGAATAATGTACGTAATGTGAGAGTGACAGTACTTGGTCGCTATCTGAACAGAACATCAGGTTTATGTGGAACATTTGATGGAAATCCTGGAGATGATTTCTTAGCAGCAAATGGAACAACTGTTGACAATGCTGTAACCTTTGGAAATTCTTGGAAAACTGATCCTGGTTGTGATGATGCAACAGATGTACAACATCCATGTGTAACTCACTCTGACAGAAACGCAACTGCTATAGCCAACTGTTCAGCTTTGTCATCTTCTCCATTCGATAACTGTGCAAACCTGATTAATCCAGTTTCAGAGGGTTATATTACCGATTGTGAGTATGATGTATGTGCTTGTGGTGGTGATGCTACAGTTTGTCTATGTCAAGCAATAGAGGCTTATGTCAGTGATTGTAATTCTACTGGAGTGGATATTGATTGGCTGAGTGATCCACGATATCAACAATGTGGTAAGTGATCAATCTAGTTGAATTTCATCGCCAAGTTTATTGCAAATTTTGGAGGTATGGAGACACAAATTTTTTAATCATTATGCCGAAATTCTGAGTTTGACATACGAAATGCATATTTTGAAGGACGTGAAATGTTGCACATTATTTCACGTCATATACTTGGTAAATTCTTTATCATGAATATCAAATTCTGTGTTAGATGGTTCAATGCAATGAAAATTGTGGGACCTTTTGCATTAATAAAAATGAGTGGCTATTTAAGACACCAAAGAAACTCAATTTGTTCGGGTGACCTCCAGATATGCATTGTGCATAGAGTAGCCCATTTTATAAGAGGAAACTACTAAAGGAATGTCTTCATACTGGTATATGTGGCAAACACATTTACTTAGCAAAGGAAACTTCAGAAAGATTATTGTGACTATATGACCTAGAATGGAATTGCTCAACATTTATTAACAGAAATTTGAACTGTTTTAATCTAATTTATCTAATTTAGGTTCACCATGTGCCAGTGATCCATGTTTCAATGGTGGGACTTGTTCAAATGATGGACAGTCATTCTGTTGCTCATGTCCTGCTGGATACAATGGTGACCGCTGCGAAATCAAAGGTATAAACATTATTTTCAAGAACGTATGGTACTGGACATGTTGTTCAAAAACGCATATATTTAACAATTTGACACCGATGGCGAGGTGATCAGAAGCCCTATATTCATCAGCGAAGTGAATATAGTCTTTAGATCACCTAGTCTGGGGTAGCCTGCGACACTGGCTCTCAAGCTGAATTGAGAGCCTGCATCGATGACTAATGAATTTGAATATCTGCCCCGTAACGTTCGTTTTTCCAAATATGGAATGTCTATCCTTATATGGTGTTGTTTACAACTTTCGTGCAAACTAAATTTAGACCGTGCAAACTAAATTTAGACTGTACAGTTTATACTGTTTTTCGAAATATAAGATATTCAAGCAAAAGTTCAAATGTTTTAAATACTGTTTTCTCAAAACAGAAAATTTCGTGCTTTGAGATAAGACGGCCAAGACCAATTTGATCAGCTAATGTGTTTTTTATGCATAATGCTGCTTCAGCAGAGTTGACGTATATAGAGCTCAGCGGAAACATATAAATTATAGCATCTGACCAATGAGAATTTCGCGTCACGATTTGAGACGCAGATATTCAAATTCATTAGTCATCGATGCAGGCTCTCAATTCAGCTTGAGAGCCTGTTCGCAGGCTAAGTCTGGGGTGCCTAATTGTTTTAGTATAAAATGCAGTATTGAAACATAATACATACAAACGTTGTGTATAAAATTTACTTCACTTTTCCGATTTTGAGTCAAACGAATCCAGCTGTCGGAACTTTGTTGGCCGATTCTGTTATTTTGCGGTTTTAAATTGCCAAATAAATTGTTTTCGGAAGTAAAAGGTGCTTTTGTTTTTCCGAAATAGGCACCATACCATATATTGTTGCTTGTTTTGCTTTTAGAGGAATAGTTTGTGCTTTAATTTCTTCATATTTTTCCTCCATGATTTCGGCAGTCATTTTGTTTTGAAAGCAATAGTTACTATCCCAAGCTGTCTGAACAGTAACTATTGCCTCATGGGAGGGAGCCAATCAGAACGTTTGAAATCCATATTCAATACTGAATTTATTATAATACTCTTTAGTATAAATTTAGGAAATCAAATGAGCTTTCGCGGGTTGTGATTGGCTGGTTGACTGGTAATTCTGACGCAATAGTTTCAAGCAGACTAATAAATAAAGCTTTTAATGCTAATAAATAATACTATTTCTTTTGATTTGTCATCTTTTCATTGTACTGCATGGTGTCCTGACGCTGTATTGTGTTTTGGAATTGCAAAATGCAAATTGTATTAAAACTTTATTTCGAGGCATTCGAGCAATATTTAATATATATCTCAGTCAATTTTAGCATTTCCCAGCCATTTCCTTCACAAATTAATGCTCAACAAAAACTATTTGTCCATCATTGTGTTTTTATTCTAAAACAACTTTGTAATAAAGCAACAAAGTGACATGGGAAGCCATTTTGAAAGTGTCTGCGTACAACAAACACTGCAACACTAAAACAGTAGGCGTCAACTATATAAATATATATATATATATATATATATATATATATATATATATATATATATATATATATATATATATATATATATATATATATATATATATATATATATATATATATATATATATATATGATAGGAAATAAAATAAATACATATTTGAAGTTTAAATATATATATATATATATATATATATATATATATATATATATATATATATATATATATATATATATATATATATATATATATATATATATATTCTGAGGTTTGGAACATCAAAGGTAATTTGTATTTCTCTATAGGTTTTGCATATGCGTTGTACTTCAGAGGAGAGAATACTGTTGAGTACGCGAAATATGAAAATAATACCTGTCGGGTGAGTATTGTTGCAATCCAACATCATTTTCACACAATCCTTAGGCCTGCATGTTTCATACGTCGCACTATCGTCGAATTTGATTCGGACGAATTTAATTGAACGAATTAAATGCGACGGTAGTGCATCGTTTGAAACGGATTACATTCGTCTGATGAATTACAATCGTCCAAGACCCTCTGTCCATCATGGTCAGATGGATACGACTTCTGTAGCGCGTCTTTGTTTCATTCGACGTGTTATCGTCGTGTTGAATTTAATGCATAAATCATGTTAAAGTTTGTTGCTGTGTTACTGATATCGTCAGGGCTGCAAATAAATATTTGACTCGACAGGACATTCGTCCGATCACTCTTAATTTTCGTCGGACATATATACGTCACAAGATATTAGATATATGTAAGTCACGAGACAAGTATGTATAGCCATTCCGGGGCAACGTTAAGTAATTTGCTAGACTGCCTCGTAAATTTTATTGCAAAATGTAAAATGAGTGAATTTGCAATTGGATTTTGTCACACGAAAAAAATGTATAATGTGAGAATATATTTTTTTGATCGGACCATGTCCGATCAAAATAACTTTTGCTCGGACATTTGCCGAATTTAGTCGGACATTGTCGATGTCCGATAGTAATTTGCGCCCTGTATCGTGTTTTTTATTTCTGCGTAATGCATGATCCCTAGACATAAAATTAATTTGTCGGAATAAAATTCGTCGTTTGAAACGAAACCATTTTAATGTCAACCAATGGACGAATTTAATAACGAATTGAATTCGTCTGAATTAAATTCGACGTATGAAACAGGCCTATCGGCTTCATGAGTGTGTTGATTTAAGCAAGTATGTCTAGCTATGTGTAGTAGTTATTTTTTAAAATCGGCAGTTAAAAATGTCCATCCCGCTCAGGTGGGATAAATAAAGCCTTCAAATGGATAATAATTTAGCCCAATTGACTGAAATCATACTTAGCGGGAAAGCAAGACTATCTCATATGAACAATAATTCAATCCATATACGTTAAATTAACGACAGGCAAACTCACTCAGGTGAGTTCCTTGGTTTGCTAGGCTAATATAGACTGTTCCTTAAGGTAATTTACATTTACGTAGTCTGCATGCACTAACTTCTATGCCCAGCAATATCCGTCTGTATCTTGATTGGAAAGGTGTGGCGAAATGTGAACTATTCTGTTTTAAAAACTTTGAATTGCATATTGTTTGTAGAAACATCTACTGAAAAATAATATTCTGCTACTTTATTTAAATCATACAATACATGTTTGACGCTAAAATTCATTGAAGAAACGTGCACCAAAATACACTTAGCTTTTCATATGGCGGGAAATCGAGCGAAAATGCCGCCGTGATCTAAAAAGTAACGTCAGAGTTGTCCCAACATCGCGACGTTTTGTATTCCAATCAACCATTTGACCGATCTTATCGACATAGGCGGCGGAACTGGAGAAGGGTTTTAGTATACGTAATAGCCTGGTTTCGAGTGCAATTTGGATATAACATGCACGAGTGAGTTTTTCAAAGACCTTATCTAAAGGAATTAAGTGTTTTTATGTTTTTGAAACAAAAATATTTAGTCAGTCGATAAACTGAAAATCGCCTATTAAAAAATCGTCGAAAAGTATGGTTTCAAAAGCGTTGCCTCAAGCTTAAGTAACGTAAAAAAATACAAAAAGTAGTTGTGTTAGTTTAAATGGATCATTTAACTGCGTTTATATTATACATTTAAATTTTTTTAGAACATTCCTGTTGAGTTTGAGTTTGTCTTGATCTTTCGTGTTTTGTTTTGGCTTGCACAACAACGTTAAAAATGTATTCTTAAACGACGATTTCCGTATATATTGTGTTCAGAGCTATGGTTTCTCGTAAAAAATACTGGAATGGGTTTTCTTTTTTGCAAAACCTTTTTTCAACTTAAGTCTCCCTATAATTTTTTTTGGAAAACTTTGTTGGAAAAAATTGTTCGCACACCCTGCAACCTTGCGAATTTCCTTGCCGCAGGAGTCTGGGACTAGCCAAAATGCCCTTGTAAATCCGCCATTTTGTGGAGACAAAATTTTTACTGAAAAGAGGAGCAGGCATTCTATGTCTTTTGTTTCTATGGGGAGGACTAAGCCAACCCCATCTCCAAAAACGGGTAAGATTCGAACTATATACACAGGTGGATTCGAGAATATTATAATGTATTTGAAAGTATTTGTCAGCAAATTATTATATATAAAATTTAAATATTTGAAATTGTTTTTGCCTGAACATCATATGCTGTGAGGAACGTCGCTGGGGAAGGGGGGTGGCGGGGGGTGACAACTTTCTTGAAAACGTCTTCTCGGTAAAATAATGGATTTGCCGGCAAATTGTTTACGTTATTGGGATATTCATTTGCGAGATATATACCCAATAACCGTACGTTAACTGGAAATTGAATCTAAAAATGTTATGTCCGGAACCAAACCAAATTAACTAATTTGTTTTCCTAACTCTCCCCCTCTCCTACAATTTTGCAATTTCGGGAAATAAATGTTAATTAACGACTAAAACCTTGTCGGCAAATGCGATACTACCCCACCCCCTGTTTTGCTTCTCCGCGAAATCCCGCTTTAATATAGAATGTAATCATCTGCGCAGACTAGTAAATGGCCAGATAATATTCTAAATTTTGAGATGCGCCTGTATATAAAATGGGCACATTTACAGAATATATTCAAGAAAGATAAGTGAAAACTGGTATGTCTGTTTAAATTATAATGTAAATATAAAGTATCAAATCCCCCCTCCCCCCCCCCCCCCACCCCTTGTAGGAAAATAGATAGGAATTACGCACCCTCCCAATATCTCCCCTCTCTTTGGATTTGCAATGTAAAACCATCTCCACGAGTCTTTTCTATCAAAGCAAGATAGCCCCAAAAATTAAACATAAATTTAACAAGGAAATACACAACAACTTTCTTCGTTGATCAGTTTTGATTGCTACCTTGCGCGACTCCCATCCTACCCATTTCAATCACTTATACCACTATTTATGCACTTTACAGGCTGCTGTTCTTGATAAAGAATTAAATGCAATCACTTCATGTTTCTGGATTAAATCGCAAAAACGTTCGTACCCCGCTGTGTTGTCATATGCAGTTCCCGGTGAAGATAACGAATTCCTCATATATTTGAATCCACTAATTACATTGATAATAAAAGGCCGCGAATTAAGGTAAGTAAATCTAGACCTGTTGCTTTCTATTAATGAATGTGTTTTCACCTCTGTTTGTTTGTTTGTTTGCTTGCTTTTTTGCTTGGTTGCTTGTTTGTTTGTTTGCTTGTTTGTTGGGCTGGGTTTGGTTTGGTTTGGTGTGGTTTGGGTTGGGTTGGTTTGGGTAGGGTAGGCTAGGATAGGGTAGCGTAGGGTTGGGCTGGGTTGGGTTGGGTTGGTTGTGTTGGTTGTGTTTGTTGTGTTGGCTGGTTTGCATGTTGGTTTGCATGTTAGTTTTTGGTTTGTAGGTTTGTTTGTTTGTGTTTTGTGTCTATGTATGTGTGTGTGTGTGCCTGTATTTTGGAATACAATAAATGAGCTAATGTCCCGAAGCTCGAAATCTCAAAATATTTCTTCTCTGTTAATAAACAAAAAAGTAGTCACAAACAACACTGAAATAGCTGAATGTTTAAAACAAAATATTTTCCTGAAATAAGGTGCAAATTAACAAACAACGTACCGCAATTTAGCAATGGGAAAGGTTTTCATCAATATGTGCAAAGAGCTGCCACTGAAACGATGTTTATATTACGCCCAACCACTTCGGATGAAGTTATTAAATTAATTTCCTCAATATCTGATAAAAAAGCTACTTGTCTAAACCATATTCCGTGTAAAATACTTAAACTCGCTGCACGTATTGTTTCGAAATCATTGTGCGATAGTTTTAATTTATTTATACAAACAGCAATATTTTCTGACGACTGGAAATGAGCGAAAGTCTCCCCTATATACAACGTTGACGCAAAAGATAATGTAGGGGATTGGAAACCAATTTCGGTTTTAAGTGTGATTTCTAAGGTTTTCGAGCCATAGTTTTTGATCACCTTTACACTTATTTCAATGAAAACAACCTGTTACACAAGAGTCAATCAGGCTTTATGAAGTGACACCCCTGTATGACTGCACTAATAGATGCCACATTGAATGGCTTGCAAATGTGGATCAGGGAAATTTTAATGCGGTTGTCAACAAGGGCAGATTTCGTGCTCGACCAATCAGCGATGCTGTTTACATTTTGGCACTCAACTGATCATAATGCAGGAAACAAGAAATTTACAGCAAGGCGAGCCAGAATATATTGCCGTCTTCGCGGGCTTCCGTGAGATTAAATTTTAACTGTTTTAATTTAAAACCAAAGATTATGGTGGAGCACGTTAAAATCTAAAACTTTGCCGTGGGAATTTTTAAATTTCGACCTAGAACTGAAAATATCCAGGTTTGAAATTTTTCCCTATATCGCGTATACGATTTTGAGTAATCTAATTTGACTGCAATAAAACTAAAAATGCTATATTTTCTCTGCTTTTAAGGTGGTTCGATACAGTTTTCAAAAATTCAAGTGTTTAACACTTTGACATGTTCAAACTACGCATTTTTAGGATTTATTCAGCAGATATTGGGTTTTTTATATATTTTGATAACTCTACTTTCAAATTATATTCGTTTTAGTAACAGATAGTTCGTTGCTATGACGACATACGTGTACGAAATTGACTCCAAAATGTCCTATCGTCTCGTATAGTTGGAAAAAAAGCATGGTGACCCCCAATTTTTTTTCGTGCATTATTTTACTTGGACGAAAAGCTAACAATTAGCAAAATATAAAAAATTTCTGTAATGCCATTTTTTGGGAAAATGCGAAAATGTCATATTCTTCGGTAACATTTTTTTGGTATTACAGAATTTTTTTATTTTTTGTATAATGAAAATTTTTAGCGGTGCAATACAGCATGCAAAATTTGAACATAGGTCACCAGACAAAATAAAGAGATATAGCGCATTGTTTTTCTAAAATGGAAAATTCTAATGACGTCAGCAATTGACATAAAACGCTATAGAACACGCGCAATGGCGTGAGATGGCGCGACCAACTGCTCACGTCAGGTCATTTTGGAAGTTCTTTCATTTTGTTAATCAGTTTCCGCGACCTGCGCGTAAAAATGGTCAACCGGTTTTGAGTTCGCGATTCTTGAACAGGGTTTTTGTGATAACTATATCGAGCCACCTTAAGTTTTTGTGGGAAAACTTTTTTTGGAAATTCTTTTGGTCAATGTTTTATATCAAAACCTAGATGATAACGCGTTTATAGCGCTCGATTTAAAAAAAATATAGTCGCACGCTTGCGATCATACGGGAAATCAATACAAAAATATTGTGCGTTCGATTTTGCAGATAATCAGACTCTCTAAACGCGTTATCTTCTAGGTTATGAAATAATACATTGAGCAAAATGATTCTCAACAAGAGTAAAAAAGAGTTTTTCAACGAAAACGTAAAGCAAAGAAAGATAGCAATTTATTAATTTTATTGCAGTCAAATTAGATTACTCAAGTTTGTATACGCGACATATGGAAAAATTTCAAATATGGATATTTTCCATTCTAGGTCGAAATTTAAAAATGCCCACGGCAAAGTTTTAGATTTTAATGTGATGCATCGTAATATTTTTGTTTTAAATTAAAAAAGTTAAAATTGAATCTTAAGGAAGCCCGAGAAAACGGCAATATTTTGTAGCTCGCCTCGGTGTAAATTTCTCGTTTCCTGCATTATGATTAGCTGAGAGCGAAAATGTAAACAAATGCGCTGATTGGTCGAGGACAAAATCTGCCCTTGTTGCGGTTGTCTATATTGATCTAGCGAAGGCATTTGATACAATAACTCACGAGATATTACTCGAGAAACTCCACATTTACGGGGTTGAAGCAAATAGCTTATCCTGGTTCCAATCTTATCTACAATATCGCAAACAAAAATGTTATGTGAATGACGTTCTATGCGACGAACGTAGCATTAATTGTGGTGTGCCACAGGGGTCAATTCTTGCACCATTATTGTTTCTCATATATATGAACGATCTTCCTCAGTGTTTAAAACATTCTACAGCTCGAATGTAGGCTGACGATACAAACATAACGACGACAGGAACATATCTTCGAGAATTAGTAACACATGCTAATGATGACTTAAATAATATAAGTGACTGGCTGAAAGCAAACAAACTCAGCCTTAACGTGACCAAAACTGAGTACATGTTCATTGGTTCAGATCAAAATCTCGACAAGTTAAGGGATGTGCCACTACTATTTCTTGAAAACAAAGCTATAAAAAGGGTCAAAGCAGCCACGTCACGAGCAGTCAGGCACAACGAGCAGACGTGCGAAATTGAGCTCCGCCTATATTCGTAAAAATGCCTCCTAAATCAAAACCAAAATCTCAAAATATAACTAACGATGATGGCGGTGACGAGTATATATCCTTATCGACTGTTAAAGAATTAATGTCGCAGCAAGAAAATGCCTTTAAAGTAATGATCGACTCTCTGATTAAATCTACTACATCAAGAGTAGATGGGTTGGTAAAAGATTTAGCTGAATTAAAATACAGCTTAGAATACTCGCAGAAAGATATAGCCTCGCAACAGAAAGAACTTGATGGAAATCAATCCGAGATTCAATCAATGAGCAATGAAATATCAAATATGAAGATGTCCCTTGATAAGTATTCTACAAAGACAGTTGATTTAGAAAACCGAAGTAGAAGAAACAACATACGAGTAACCGGCATTCCGGAGAAGCGAAGCGAAACGTGGGATGACTCGGAGGCAATGGTTAAATCTGTCCTTAAAGAGAAGCTAGGGCTAGCATCTGAGCCTCGCATCGAAAGAGCGCATCGCGTCGGTTATTCTACTAAACGGGATGGATCGCCTAGAAATGCTCCTAGACCGATTGTATGTCGTTTGTATGATTGGAAAGAGAAGGAACATGTTCTCAAACAGGCCAGAATACATAAGCCGTCTGGTATTTATGTAAATGATGATGTTGCCGAAGCCACAATGGTCAAACGACGTGAACAAATACATAAGTTGAAACAAGCAAAGCAGGAAGGGAAGATTGCTTATTTTGTCTTGGATAAACTCATAATTAAAGACAAACGATCTGGATAAAGTCAGTATTTACTTATTCTATAACTAATGTGTTTTATAGTAAGTTATTCAAATAATTAATATAAATATGGCTTCTATACCTATGAACTTCTTACCCTTTTCTGATTTAGATGATGAGAGCTTCTTATTGACTCTTTATGAATTTCAAAATGGGTCTATTAGTTATAATCAAGATAGATTAGGTACATTATTTTTTAATCCTTTATTATTAAATACAAGACACCATCTTGCTTTAAACAGCAACTTGGACCCAGATGAAAATTTTCTCGGTGAGCTGAATAATACACCTTGTGAATATTATGTCGAGGATCAGTTTAATGAAATGTTTAGAAATGAATGCAAACATGGTAATGTGAGCCTTTCAACTTTACATTTAAATATTCGTAGTATCTCTCAAAATAAGTCACGCTTTACTGATTGGTTATGTGGCTTAGATATCAAATTTTCCGTTATTGGTATTACTGAGACGTGGATAAAAGAAGCAGACAATCTGGCAGGCATTGACGGTTACAATTTTATTCATAATCATAGAAGAAATAGAACTGGTGGCGGTGTGGGAATTTATATATCAAACGAATTGCATATTAAAAGCCGCAATGATTTGAATTTTTCAGATTCAAATTCAATAGAAACATTGTTTATTGAAGTGATTAAATCTCGAGGGAAGAATATTATTATCGGAGTTATTTATAGGCCACCTGATCAAAATCTTGATACTTTTGTTCATTATTTTGATACTATTGCTGAAAAAATTTCGAGAGAAAATAAACTTTGTTATATTATGGGAGATTTTAACATTAATTTCATGAATTATCAATGTCACAATAAAACAGGCGAGTTTGTGGATAGCATTTTTTCTAACATGTTATATCCACGTATTACTCGTCCAACCAGAATTACAGCGCACACCGCCACATTAATTGATAATATACTTTCAAATAATTTTGAATGTAATACAAAAAATGGACTTTTTTTTCAGACATATCTGACCATCTTCCAATCTTTTCTATAGTATTCGAAAATAAAAATAATCAAGTCAAAGACGATACTGTAACTTATCGAGATAAAAGCTCAAATAATATTGAAAAATTTCAGGAACTTTTAGCGAATTTGAACTGGTCCTCGATAGAAGATTCGGGTGATCCAGCACACGCGTACATGATATTTCACAAAATGTATTCGAATATTTATAACGATTGCTTTCCAGTAAAAACAATAAAAAGAAAATCCAAATTTTATAAGCCTTGGATTTCTAAAGGTATTTTGAAGTCCATAAAGAGGAAAAATAAGCTTTACAAATCTTTTTTACAAAACCGAAATCCTATAGCCGAGAGTAAATATAAGGTCTACAAAAATAAATTAACACATTCAATTAGAATTGCTAAACGTATTTATTTTGATATGAAACTGAATGAAAATAAATCAAATATGAAAGCAACATGGAAAATATTGAATAGTATTATAAATAGAAAAAATACGAAATCAAAGATTAATTCTATTTTTAAACTGGATGGAAGAGTAACGTCGGATGCATTTGAGATTTCCAATCAATTTTGCAATTACTTTAGTAATATAGGACCCTCGCTAGCTAGGAAAATTCCAACATCGCTAGTTCCTGTTAAGTCATTTTTGTCTGGGCAATTTTCGAATACTGTTTTTCTTCAACCGGTGTCAGAAAATGAAATAAAAAATATAACTAAAGCTTTCTCATCCGAAAAAGCTGTCGGATATGACAATATTTCAATGTCCATTGTCAAATTAACTATCAATTATATTTTAAGACCTTTAACACATATTGTAAATTTATCTTTGTCGCAAGGTTTTGTTCCAGATGAAATGAAAATAGCTCGAGTCATTCCTTTGTATAAGTCTGAGGATAAATCCTTTGTTAAAAATTATAGACCAATTTCCATTTTACCTGTGTTTTCAAAAATACTGGAAAAAGTATTTTACAACCGAATACTAAACTATTTGAATAAAAATGAAATTCTATATGCAAATCAGTATGGTTTTAGAAAGGGTCATTCAACTGCATCAGCCCTTCTTGATTTATACGACAAAATATCTGAGGCAATTGATAAAAAGGAAGTCGCTGTTGGAGTTTTCTTAGATCTGCCTAAGGCCTTTGACACGGTGAACCATAACATTCTTTTTGAAAAATTGGAGTATTATGGTGTACGTGGCATAGCGCTGAGTTGGATAAAAAGCTATTTTTCTAATCGGAAACAATTTGTTCAGTTTAATAATTCATTTTCTACCTCGAAGAATATAACATGTGGAGTACCACAGGGGTCTATTTTAGGTCCTCTTTTGTTTTTGATATATATAAATGATATTTGTAATGTTTCGACTCTTGCAAAACTGATCTTATTTGCTGACGATACAAGTTTGTTCTTTACTCATAGGGATCCGGTTTACTTGGTAAATATGATAAACCAAGAGCTGGAAAAATTCTCGATTTGGCTTAGGACAAATAGATTATCTTTAAACTTGGATAAAACAAAATTTATGATTTTTAAACCTAGACAAAAATTATTGGAATTAGATGTGAAACTATTATTAAATGATAGAGAAATTGATCAAGTGGAAAAAATCGTTTTCTTAGGAGTTATTTTAGATGACAAACTTTCTTGGAAATCTCATATTAGTCATGTGTCAACGAAGATTTCAAAATCAATAGGAATAATACGTAAATCTAGTTTTTTTCTTTTGAAACAATCATTGTTTACTTTGTATTACTCATTGGTGTACCCATACCTGGAATATTGCAATATTGTTTGGGCATCTACGTATGCATCCAACCTGTTTCGTTTGGTAGTTCTTCAGAAACGTATTGTTAGAATTATGAATAATAGTACATTTGATTCTCATACAAGCATGATCTTTAAAAACCTTCGATTATTAAAATTTAGTGACATATGTAAATTGCAAACATGTCAATTCATGTTTTTGTATATAAAAAATCTTGTACCAGAACATTTTAAAAATATTTTCCTATTAAATAGCCAAATACATAATTATAATACTAGAAGAGCAAATGAATTTCACACTGTAACTCCTAGAACAAATCTACGTCAATTCTCTATAAAATACCAAGGCCCATTTCTCTATAACAGTTTAGACAATGATATTGTGAATAGTGTATCGCTTTCTTCCTTTACAAAGAAATTAAAAAAACTTTTCTGCTCCATGTATAATTAACTAAGCTTACCATTGTTATTTATTTTGGAATAAGCTTATAATTAGTGTGAATTCTTAAACGAGAGGGGGTTTGATAATTTTAATAAGCCTAATTGGTTTCCTATATCAAACCTCCTCGTCACATAGGCTTTTAAGTAAATATTCATTATTTTGTTTGAAAACATTATCTTTCTTGTTATTATTTAACTTACATTATTTGACATTTTTTTTTGTAAATAATTGTTGTGTGTGACAAAATTTATTATTAAACATTAAACATAAACGTCATTAGGGTACATATTGATGAAAGACTAACATGGCATGAACACGTGGAATTTCAGGTTAACGGCCGAACCACAAGCGCACTTTTGGACGCAACTACAGAATGGTTAAGCAATATGGATAAAGGTCAACTGAATTCTGTAGTGTTTCTTGATTTGGCCAAGGCATTTGATACGGTGGATCATGAGATTTTGTTGAGCAAACTTCAGATTTATGGAGTTGATTCAATGAGTCTCAATTGGTTTAAATCGTATCTATTTGACCGAAAACAAAAATGTAATGTAAATGGTCTAGTATCGAGTGAGCGCTTGTTGCTATGTGGGGTACCTCAAGGATCTATTCTTGGTCCTTTGCTATTTCTTGTTTACATTAATGACCTTCCTTCTTGTCTGCAACATTCTACAGCACGAATGTATGCGGATGATACAAATATAACTACAACTGGAAAGTCGATAAAGGAAATAGCATCTGGAGCCAATACAGATCTTGAAAATATTCGCATATGGCTCAAAGCAAATAAACTTACCCTGAATGTTACTAAAACGGAGTATATGTTCATTGCGTCTGACAGTAATCTTGACAAACTGCGGGACATACCATATTTAGTTTTGGGTGGAAAACCCATAAGAAGAGTTAAAGTATCAAAATCACTAGGGATATTTATTGACGAAAGATTGTCATGGAGAGATCATATTGATAAAATCTCTAAGACCATATGTTCCGGAATTTCCGGTCTTCGGCAAGTGAGAGAGTTTGTTACCCTTTCAACATTACTTACAATATATAATTCACTAATTCAACCAATATTTGACTATTGTGATGTTGTTTTGGGTAACATGTAAATCACACTTGCTCAACGACTCCAAAAACTGCAAAATCGTGCAGCAAGAGTTATCACTCGTCAGGGTTATGAAGTAAGATCTAATGATATTAGAAGTCAATTGAAATGGAAAACACTTTCCGAAATAAGGAATAGTCATAAACTCATAATGATGTATAAAATATTAAATAATATGGATCCTGTTTACTTACGTGACCATTTTAAAATGTCTTTCACGGACCAAGCTTATTCTCTTAGAAATAGAAAACTATGTCTAATTTTGCCAAGAGCACAAACAGAATTCCTAAAGAAAAGTTTTGCCTTTTCTGGAGCAAAAGTTTGGAACGAACTACCAGAAGAAGTAAAATGTAGCAATAGTTTACAAATCTTCAAAAAATGTATCTCATCTCCTGCCTAAAATTGTACATAGCTATTTTTAATATAATGTCGGCCCTCTTGTAAAGCAGTGGTATCACTGAAGAGTTCACCGAATTTAAATAAAAATATTTCTGTCTGTCTGTCTGTCTGTCTGTCTGTCTGTCTGTCTGTCTGTCTGTCTGTCTGTCTGTCTGTCTGTCTGTCTGTCTGTCTGTCTGTCTGTCTGTCTGTCTGTCTGTCTGTCTGTCTGTCTGTCTGTCTGTCTGTCTGTCTTTCTGTCTGTCTGTCTTGAACAGCTTTACACCTATTTCAATGAAAACAACCTGTTACACAAGAATCAATCAGGCTTTAGGAAGTGCCACTCTACTATGACTGCACTAATTAATAGATGCCATTATTGAATGGCTTGCAAATATGGATCAGGGAAAGCTTGATGCGGTTGTCTATATTGATCTAGCGAAGGCATTTGATACTATAAGTCACGAGATATTACTCGAGAAACTCCACATTTACGGGGTTGATACAAATACTTTATCCTGGTTTCAATCCTACTTACAAGATCGCAAACAAAAATGGTATGTGAATGGCGTTCTATCCGGCGAACGTACCATTAATTGTGGTGTGCCTCAGGGGTCAATTCTTGGACCGTTATTGTTTCTCATATATATCAACGATCTTCCTCAGTGCATGTTTAAACATTCTACAGCTCGAATGTACGCTGACGATACAAACATAACAACGACAGGAACATCTATTCGAGAAATAGTAACACATGCTAATGATGACTTAAATAATATAAGTGACTGGCTGAATTCGAAAGCAAACAAACTCAGCCTCAACGTGACCAAATTGAGTACATGTTCATTGTATCAGATCAAAATTTTGATAAGTTAAGAGATGTATCACTACCATTTCTTGAAAACAAAGCTATAAAAAGGGCAAAGCAACGAAATAATTAGCGGTACATATTGATGAAAGACTAACATGGCATGAACACATTCAAAATATTTCAAAAAAAGTAGGTGTTGGAATTTCAGGTTTACGGCGGGTAAGGGAATTTGTCCCATTATCGACATTGGTAACAATCTATAACTCATTAATACAACCACTATTTGATTACTGCGATGTTCGGTTTGGGACA